CCAGCTCGACTCGACTCGCCTTTGTTTGGTTTTCCATTGTGGAGAAGTTGGACCTGTACCTGCTACCAGATACTTTTTTTCGTATCACCTCCGTCGAGGTTCTAAGCGAGCTGAGGCGATACTAAAATGTGACGTGAAAACACAGCAGACTGCTGATTGGTCAGAGAGAATCATCACTTTCTGCATCATCATTGCGCTCGCCTGACAGAGGCCAGCAACAGGAAGTTTTATATTTTACAGTTTTCACACGTTATTTCATCACTAAATCACTCCTGAAAAGTTTTGAGGAGAAATCAGCTGTGTAGATTTCAAATATTGACAGTTGTACAAAAAGTGATGGCTGGTGTGTGTGTCGCATTGAACATTACGTCACGGCAGTTGTGTGTGGCATTACTGTCATGACCAGCTACATTCTCTGCGTACGATCTGCAATTGAAAATGGAGCTTGTCCAAACCGAGTCGAGTAGAGTCGAGGCGAGTTGAGTTGGTTCTGGTAAAGGAAAACGGGCTTTAGCTTGCGATACGCCATTTTAGGTTCACAAGAACAAGACGAAAAGATGTTTAAAGATGTCCTAAACGCGGAGCTACATGTGGGGGTCTGGGGGAACTCCTGCAGGAAATTTTGATCAGTAAACACTTTCCTGTATTCTGGATCAATTTATGGTGGAAATGGTTTTATTTATGTAAAAGGAAATTCAAAACCCTACGCGTACCCCCTCTGACGATTTTTTCATCACGCGGACCCTCACGGACCTTCGCGGACGTGGAGAGCATAGTTCTTGCTTCAGACTGACTCTTCAGATTTAGTCCTACAGTAACATGGTGAGTTCTGTAACGGCGCCTTCTCTTGGCCAGATCTCCGTTTGTAAAATAATACTTTCTTTTTTTCTTTATACTTTCACACTAAGGGCCACCTAGTTCAATAATGTTTTAGTTTTTTAAAGAAAATTTAGGGATCGTCCCTTGATTTAAAAGAAAGTTCTGTGACTTTTGGGTTGATTTTTAATAGGTTTAGAAAACAGAGCTGAAGGTGAGTATGAAAGTTTCAGACTGAGTGCTCAGTGGTTGGGTTGAAGGAGGGTTTTTTATGTGGTTTTCACACACAGAAACTGGTGGAAAAAAGAAAGCGGTCACCTCAAGTTTCTCCCCCCTCCTCCCCCCCAACACCAGCAGTCTGCAGTCTAAAGGTTGGAAATCAAACAACTTGTGTGCTGCTGATGAAAATCCTTTTGTTCTCATTTTATTTGCATCTTTGTTGTTGTTTATTTTTTATAAACAACAATATTTATTTAACAATATTTTCATATATGTTATGAATCCTTTAATTAAAATCAACTTTATTTATTTTATGTTATATTAAGTCTGTGTTCTGGTCAGTACTGTGTTTTAAAAGCACTCTGCATCACAGTAGCTGCAAAAACAGTGAAAATGAATATTCTAAACAGTCAGACAGACAGTTTGTAATATGTTGGCAGTTTACACCTACAAACAGAAAAGCCACAAAAAACAGGAAGAAGAACTGTGAGCGCTAACTGCCTCTGAGACCTGAGAATGATTAACTGGGTCATTTTATGGAACTCGGCCAAAAGAGAAAATCCCTCAATGTTGTTTAAAACTAAATAAATCATTTAAGAAAATAAAACAAATCTAATCTTGGAAATCAAGTATGAGCTGAAATAAAAATCTTAAGTTACGTAATGTTTACATTGACTTTGTGTTTGATACTTCAGTTACTTTCAGCCAGGTTTTAAGTGTATATATGTAGATACACTCACGGCCACTTTATTAGGTCCTCCTTGCTAGAAACGGGTTGGACACCCTGTTTGCCATAAAGGGATGGACATGTTCAGCAACAATACTCAGGGAAGCTGTCGCCTTTAAACGAGGGGCCCAAAGTGTGCCAAGAAAATTTCCCCCACACCATTACACCACCACCAGGCTGAACCGTTTATACAAGGCAGGATGGATCCATGCTTTCATTTTGTTAACGCCAAATTCTGACCCGACCATCTGAATGCTTTTTGTTTGGTGAGTCTGTGTGAACTGTAGTCTCAGTTTCCTGTTCTTAGCTGACAGGAGTGGCCCCCGGTGTGGTCTCCTGCTGCTGGAGCCCATCTGCTTGAAGGTTGGGCGTGTTGTGCGTTCAGAGATGGTGTTCTGCACGCCTTGGTTGTAACGAGTGGTTATTTGAGTGACTGTTGCCTTTCTGTCATCTGGAACCAGTCTGTCCATTCTCCTCTGACCTCCGACATCAACAAGACCTTTTCGTCCACACAACTGCTCACTCGATATTTTCTTTTTCAGACCGTTCTCTGTAAACCCTACAGATGGTTGTGGTGAAAATCCCATCATCAGCAGTTTCTGAAATACTCAGACCGGCCCGTCTGGCACCAACAACCATGTCACGTTCAAAGTCACTTAAATCCCCTTTCTTCCCTGTTTTAAGGTCGCTTTGACGTCTACATGCCTAAATGCTGTGAGTTGCTGCCATGTGATTGGCTGATTAGCTATTCATGTTAACAATCAATTGAACAGGTGTACATAATATAGTGGCCGGTCAGTGTGTATCTTGTTGTTTATCTGTCGTTAGTTTTTGTGAAAATGACTTTCTGGTCAGTTATTGTGTCGTCATGACACAGCCTTAATTCAGGCCCTGCCCATAATGCCAGAAAAAGCTTTAGGTGCTTTGGAGGCCTGTCTACCAAAACTAAATTAAAAGCAAAGGCAAGGTGTCAAAACAGACGTGTTGGGCAGTAAGTAAAAATGCAAATTTTTAAAAAAGTTGTGTGTTATTTCATCAGCGAAGTTAAAATGAAAGTCCAGATTTTTAACATACTAAATATAGACGAGACACAATACAAGATCTGGCCTTTACAGTCTTATTGTCACCTGCCTCTTCCTTGGAGTAATATTTAATCCTATTTCAGCTTGGTCCTTCTGTATGATGGGCTGTTTTTACAAATTTACTACTGGTGTAAACTTAGTCTCCATAACTTTTATCGATTCCTTATTTTAACTATGTTTTGGTTCCATGGATGGAAGAAGCCAGCTTGTGCTAAAAAGAAACGATAAGTGGTATTCTCTAAAGAAAAAAAAAGCACAATGACAAGAAAATGACCATTGATCATATTCAGTACAACATACAGTAATGTTGGTTCTATGATAATCTAAATAAAAGAGGTTGCGAATCATTTTCTTACTTTTCACTCATTCATTGCCTTTAAAATCAAAGTCTTTTGTACAGTACAGATGTGTGTAACAATGCAGTGGCACTGCCTTTGTTCATTTCAGGTGCTCAAACGTGAGACTGTAGGGTGTCAAATACGTGGGTTGCAGATGTTAATACTCATCTGCGCCCCACTTCCACAATGAGACATCTTGGAGAAGATGCAGAGGGCTTCTGAATATATTTTGACTAAGGGTAAAGCTTGATTTATACTCCTGCGTAGGGTCTATGCCGTGCATTTATACTTGTGTGTCGGTGTCTCCGTCATTCTGCAATTACACTGCCGAAGTTAGCGCTACAGCGTCCACTGTGTTGACTTTTACTGGGCCGAGCAGGCTAACTTCCGGTTTAGCCCTCCGCTAACGTGATTGGGGGTAAAATTGTATACGAGCGGCTGGTGTAGCCTTTTCAGATGTTATTGACCGAATGGATCAAATATATTGATTCACCGTGTTACAGCCGCTAGTAAAAGTTACTTCGTACACTGAGCCCACATGTTCATCAGAAACTAACATTCACACACATTCATACATGGAACAGCCATCGGGGGCATTTAGGGTTGAACCGCCTACCTTCCGATTAGTGGACAACCCGCTCTACCCCCTGAGCCACACAGCTGTCAGTAAGAGCTGTGATTTTAAAGTTAAAGTGGTAATATTATAATTATAACATTACTTGTCATAATGTTAATAAGCTAGCGTTGGATTCATATTAGATTGCACATGATTAGAGCAATGTAGCATAGCCATGTCTGTTAAAGGCTTAAAATTACGTTAACGATTGTAATTCCCCCACACCGCACCGAGTAATGTTACAATGAACAACGCAGTGCGATTTTATCGTCTTGAATATGATGATGATGTTTATTTCTTTAAGTGAGCGGTTCATGTTGATGTCATGATGCCTCCGTGTCGGCTGCACAGCTTTAACTTTAAATACTAGTTTTGGCTACTTGACATGCTGATTTTACACTTTCTGTCTTAAAAGGAACAAAAAAATATATTTAAAGACTGTCGTCTGTATTTTTGAAAAGCACTGTGAGATAACTGGAACTATATAAATAAAACTGAATTGAATGAATCCTTTGTTCCATTTCCACCCACATGTGTGACGTAATAGCATTGTCAACATAAATAGCTGAGCCATCTTTTATAGTTAACTTGATATTTTACATTACCTGCAACATATATTACTCATTTATTTTCCTGCCATAGTCTCAGTGTGGATCATCTGTCCAACGTGATGAACGAAGAGCTGCAGAGACCTGGGAAGCCTCCTCAGTGTGCTGGACGTCTGTAAAAAAACTTCAAAATGATGGTTGGTACATGGTTCACACTGCAATATATATATAATATATTTTAGTGTGAACCATGTACCAACCATCATTTTGTGCACTCCTTTTGTCTTTACCGTGTTAACCGCAGTGTGGCTTACACTGTAGATATGCACCTATTTGCAAAACCCACAAGACGTTCGCAGTAAATGACACCTCCTACAGATCACAATATTTCCAATTCACATTAAACTGCTGAATGAAGAATGTGATTTGATTTTTAGTATATTTAGTCTGATCCATTTTATAGAACCTAAAATATTCCTACTGCACAAGCAATAGTTTAACAATTTAAAATCATATCTTGCATTAGGAAAACATCAATATTAAATGGTTACAAATGTTAAAGTTGTTTGAAATAATATGTTGTAACAGTAATTAATAATAACAGGACTCAGCCACCTCCCCCACCTGGACCTCCTCCTGGACCTCCACCTGGACCTCCACCTGGACCTGGACCTCATTCTGTTTGTTTTTAATTCATTCAGATGTTCTGAACCCAAAAGAGCCTCTGCAGATTAGTTCTTTTTCTGACAACAGAACTGCAGATTAACACAAAGAGACTTTTCTGCTTTGCTTTCTGTTGCAGCGCCACCTTGTGGATTGATGGAGAATTGCAGTTAAGTACTAATGCCACACTGTGTTACTAACATGAAACTATGCGAGTATAATCAGGTAAATGTACCATCTCCAGTAATCGATTGGGAATTTCTTTTTTAGATTCCTTGTTTGTGAAAATGTACTTGACAATAAACCTGATTGTGAAAAACCAGGGATCTGGACCCAAACGCAGGCAGAACAGCTACAGGTTACGGTGTTTAATATCAACAGGTGAAATCTGGTGAGGCAGGCAGTCCATAAGGCAATAAATCCAAGAGTCCACAATCCAACATGAAAACAATAATCCAGGAACAGGAGACAGACAAAAAGCAAAACACAAAATCCACAATAAATCCTCCACAGGTACAGGAGACCGGCAGAGACGCTCGACCAAGAAGGAAGAAGACAAAGCAGACCGAGAACGAAGACGAGCCGACAAATGACAACGAACACAGCGAGAATATCTAAAGACGAGCGGTGATTAAGGAGACACAGGTGAAACCAAGTGAGGAGGAGCAAACAATCACACAAGCAGGAAAACACAAGTGAAGCCAACACAGACACAAGAGGAAGGGGAGAACAAAATAAAGCTGGAAATAACAATCATTCAACACAAAAGCCAAAACCAGGACAAGAAGTCTGGAGAAGAACATTTAGTTCATTTAGTTTAAAGCACTTTAGTTGGAACTGAAACAAAACAGATTCTTTCCATCATTTAATTTATTGTTCACGTTAAAGGAAGAAAAAGTCTCAGTCCAGGTTTGGCAGCCCACTGAGAGACAGAGAGATGAGATCCAAAAGATCTTTCAGTGCAACTTCTCACATCCTAAATCAGTGTGTGGGCTCCTCATTTCCTCTTCTTATAATGTGGAGCATGAACATAAAGATCCAGGAACATTCAAACAGCTGGAAGCAGAACACAAAGAACACAGAGAGGAGGACAGAAAGAACACAAGGTGTGAGAATAAGAGACGTCAGGAGGAAAAAGAAAAGAATTATCAGAGGGAGATAATGGAAGAGGGATTCAGACTTTCAGAAAGAGGAAGGGACCAGGAGGGGAGACTGAGAGGGAGAAAGAATTAGAGGATTGGGAGAAATCTATGTGAGGAATGGGATGGAGTAAGCTCAGCATCTTAAATGAAGTCCCACTCAAAGTCCATGAGTCTCCTCAGCAGAGTGGATCCATGTGGACTGACTGTTGTCGTCTCTTTGTTGCTGACTTTTCCAGTTTTCTTTGAGAAGACTTTGGCCCGTCCGGCCTCGGTGCCTCTCTCAGGGTTTATTCCAACCAAGCGCCTGACAAACAACAACATGGCACGTCAGATCCACTGACACACTCGCTCTGGGCTCAATCACACATTCCTTCTGATTTCTGGAGGCTATATATGTGCTGTCAGACCTGCACATTTCTGAAAGCTCCTTTTGCAATCAGGCATACAACAGCGCAGCACTAAATGAGCTCTATTGCTGTGAATCTTCATGTCTCACTCAGGCCACTGAGGTGCTAGACCCATGTTCACAGATCTGACAAGAAAACATCAGTGCAAGCCAAACAGACTTGACTGCTGTGCTTCAATAAGCAGCAAACTGCAGCTGGAAGATTGTGAAGCAAGAAAGAAAAGCTCCTTTCACCAGGTCACCTGACAGTCGCCTGTTTCAGTGTTTGAGGCGTCTGAAATCTATCGTGTCATGTGATGAACAGGCAAGTACTTCCTCTGATCAGCAGTGCAGAGGTCAAATAGTTTGGTGCATCTGTAATGTCAGAGAAACATGTCAAAAATCAGCCTGAATCCAGCTGAACAGTCTGATTTAAATGATGCAGAAAACACTCAAATGGCTTTTCCCACAATGCAACACATACTGCGTGATCCCGTTACCTAAGGTGCTTGTTGGTTGATTAGCAGTAAAGTGCTGTACTTTAGGAAGACGTTCTAGTTGCGTTAAAAAGCGTCAGATTTTGGTTTGTATTAACAGTAAAGCTGGATTTAAAAAGAAGGTTCATTCTGTTCAGATCTTGCTGTAAACTGACAGCAATCATTTCCAGTGTTGTTTAAATAGCAGTGGAGTGTTGAGGTGTGATGTGTGAGGTGTGGTCAGGCAAATAGTTTCTGTTCTTTTAGGGCCGCATTATTCCGAAGATGCTCTGAAGAGAGACGCTGTGAGCATTTACAAATTCATTGATGATTCAAATCTCCCGACACGCCGACAGGATCTAATGTTAATTCATGTTCTGTGTTCTTCTCCACATCCTGAAGGTCTCACACACAGTCCAGGTTCATCCAGTGAAAGTGTTTGGAGTAAAGCAGCCGTCCTCCTGATCAATCCTGAGCTCCATCAGAGCGTCTCAATGATTTCAGAAGCTAAAAGTTGAATCCTGTTTCCTCTGGAGAGTTTCCTCTGTCCTGTCATGGCAACTTTAGAACTACAGCTTTTAGTTTTGCTGCTTAAATGCACCACGATATTTGCTGTGACTTTACTGCACATGGAAACGTTTGAAATGACTGACAGCAGCCTCTCTGACCATGAAAGGAAATGGTTAAAGAAAACACTCCTACATCAATAAAAGCCAGAATAAAGAAACCAGTGGAAGAGAGAGAGATGTGAGCCACGAGCGGTTCATCAGAGTTTCTAATAAGGAACATCAGGCTTCATGATCAGAGACGTCCACACTTCTGTCCATATCCCCCCTCTGCTGTGAGTCAATCAGTCAGCTGATGCTTTTTATAATGCGCCATTCATCTGCCATTAGAACAGCAATGCGCCAAGGTACAAGAGTACCTGGCTTTAAAAGGGAATGGGAGATGACTCTGATTGGTTTATTGCATGTTACGCACAAAACACACCCATGACTAATTCACAGACTAAGTACCTTTTGAACCATGCGCACTAACCATTTTTTCTAACGTTAGATTTGGACACGCTCAAACGCACCTGCGCCACATGCTTCAAGCTGTGCACTTAGATCGTGAGTTTGGGGCCCATCATGACACACAGACACAGTTTCCTGTAAACAGGGAAGAGCAACACTGAGAACAGGAAGAGAACCTGAAAGTGAAAGTAATTTTGAATCGACAAAGCAGGAGGAGGAAAACTGAAGGCTGAGGCAGGGTGAGTGTTAATCCAACATTTACATTCTTTTCCTGTCAGAGTCTCTGAGGCAGTTTTCTCCCTGTGGACTGTAGAGGAAAGAAATCAGAGTGAAGTCAGTGTTTCCTCTAGGATGGAGCTGGAGCAGCAGAAGCGAAGAGAAAAACTCTTTGAGCATAGTGCGCATGCTCTCCATCTGAATAGAAAAGCCCAGAACAACATGTCTGAGCAGCTGCTGTGTCCAATGCCCATCAGAATAGCTTCAAATGCCAGGATTTCCCCGTAGCTTCAGCAGGGTCCACATGGTCCAGGGCCAGTAAAAAAGAAGTGGGGCTAGTTGCCAGTTGCTCTGTAACAGCGGAAGTCAGCCGCCTCGCTGCGTCCTGCTGTCTACAAAGGAAACACTGGAACGGTGTCTTAAAATCCTCAGGTTCTCCAGCTGCTCTGCCTCAGCTCTCTGTGGTTTCCAGAGTTTCCTGATGGACAGGCAGCTTTACTTTCTGCTGAACCTTTAACAGCTGCTAACTGGATCTGTCTGGATCTGTCACACACATTCAGCTCTATTAAGTCCCTCCCTGTCTCTGGGTTTTTAAATATGCAGAAGCAAAGAACACATTCAGGGAAAATCAAATCAAACACATGATATTAAAATCTTTAAACTGTTAAATGAAGAAAATTAATCATTACAAAGTTTCTATGATTAATAAAGTCAAACTCTGATCTACTGACCCAGAGGACAAAAGCTTCAGACTAGACTTGCTAAAGAAGTTCACTGGGGAGGAACTCCAACCATTAGATTTGGGGTAAGGAAGTGAGTTAGTTCTGATGCTCTCCACAGTGATTTTACATTCATGGCACAGCACCAAAGCAGGTTTGGACCTCAGCACCTTCTACCGGCAGGAAAACTGTTCATCTGAGCTCAGTCATTAGACATAGGAGTGTTCACGTTTGCCTTTTGGGTTTTCATTTACAGCTTTTGACATTTATCTGTAGAAATGAAAATAAAACGTAGGCAACATGAGAACCCCCTCCCCTCTGTAAATTACGTTTCATTTGACGGTCACCACTGTCCTTTCTCTTTCAACCAGTTTTTCAGACTCATCTGAAAAATAACTGAACTGTTGTGATGTAGCAGTCAGTCCAGGACAGAGCTGGAGGCTACACCAGTGCAGTCTAAGTTTGTACCTGATGTTCTCAACACTGGACAGGTCAGTAGGAATGAAATGCAGCTTGTTTCTTCTTAGAAATGGAGCTAATGTTAAGTTACAGAGCAGCCAAAAGACTGTTCGCTGTGGCCCCGTATACTCCACCACGGCCGCCCTGCTAATGCACGCACGTCCAAACAGGAGCAGCCTCTAATAAACCACCCAGCAGCGTCACAGCCATTGGTCACTACGGCAGTACTACTTTAAAAAGGCTGCAGAACACAAACACAAACGCTGCACACTGTTAGAAACCTCTACAGAACACATAGTGACTTTTCCACCAGACTGTTGATGAGTTTCAATCTGTTGTCTAGTGGGAGGAGCCTCGTCGACGAGCATCATATCTAGCAAATCACTGAAGACACATTCTCCCACACAGAATATGACTTTGAGAGGGATTGATTGGTTTTATAATATGTATAGGCTACTGTTTGCAACCAATGGCTGTAGAGACATTAACTGAAATTAGCTAATTAAAATTTGTAAATGTCTAAAACATTTATAGTGTAGAATGACGAGACAAAAACAATCAGAATCAAATGAAAATGCTTATTTTAGCTAAATAAAATGACGAGACAGTAAATCACTGAGGTGATTTATTTCCCTCAAAATCCCCACAGGACAGTGAAATGTAGACATTCAGAGCTTTACTAACATTAAGCATCAGATTAACGTTTTTCCACCAGCCGGTTTGAACCGGCTCTTTACATTTATTCATTTGGCTGACGCTTTTATCCAAAGCGACTTACAATTACTATACATGTCAGAGGTCGCACGCCTCTGGAGCAACGAGGGGTTAAGTGTCTTGCTCAGGGACACAATGGTGGATGTCTCACAGTAGGAATTGAACCCAGGTCTCCCACACCAAAGGCTAGCGTCTTATGTATACCATCACCATCCTTCTTTACCTTCAGAATTTGCATTTCACTGACAGATTCTGATAACATGTTGTATTAACACATTTAGACACATATCTACCGTTCAGTTGCTCTATCTCTGGCTTCACTATCCTCTCTGTCTACTCTTTCACCATCGAACAGGGCTGTGGCCTCTTCCTCTTCCCGGTCTCAGCCTCTGTGGCCCTGGTACTAGTACTACTACTACGGAATGAGTCACTTACATTTACTTGCATTTCAGTTATGACCTTTGACTCTTTTGTCTCTGAACTTTTCAGCCCCACCCGTAAAGTCTTTTATTATTAGTAAAAACATACAAGTCTAAGGAAGGCGGCCCAGCAGGAATTCTTCCGGTACTCTCGATGGCCAGTCCTTCACTGGCTTTCCTGCTCAGTCTGAAGGGGGGAGGGACTTCACTTTTCCAGCAGTTTGGGAAACAACAGACTTTTCAGGTCTTGAGAAGCTGAAGCATTTATTTCCTGACACACTGTAACTGACACCGTGCTGGCAGTAAACTTTCCTGCCCTCGTATTCACCGTCACTTTCTGCTGCTCGGACAATCAAACACTCGCTACGCACCTCCCGATTCCTTACAGGAGCTCTGCTGCTCATATAACAGCACCTGTCACATAGAGTCCTTTGAAGAATGAGGAAACTGGCCAAGCTTTGGGGGCTGAGTTTTACCGTGCTGGCACAGTGTGTGAGTGAAAATTATTATTAGCGCTAATTCCCAGCAAGCACTTTAGCATTTCAAAGATATCTAATAGCTGTCCAAACACAGCTCTGACATCTAGGCTGAAACAAGGCTAAATGTGGGCTAACTCTCTCATTTTAAAATTCAGTATGGCAGATATGTTCATTGGGAGATCTGGCAATACTGATGTCTTCTAACTTTCAAGTCTGGCGTTACCAGTAATCATGTCTCAGTAGGGCTACAGCCGCCATCTAGAGGTTAAAAATCATAATTGCATTTTGTTTTAATTAAAATGAAAGTTACTGTAGTGAACGTTGTGTGACAGCGAAAATAAAAATTATTTAATTGTTTCAAACGTTTACTTGTATTTGATTATATGATGTCACAATCTGCGTGGGTGAAATCTACATGTAACCAGTTTTAACACTATTGTGGCTGTAACGTTACTTATCTGTGATCTGAAACAGGGCTGTAGCCAAGCCGTTAAAATTAGACCACCTCGATTTCACCGGCTGGGCTAAAAGATATATATATATACATATATATAATACAATAAAGAACCATACTGGCATCAGGTGCTAGGGAACAAGACATTCATGGACTAGAGCAGAAAACATGGATCTGATGCAATGCTACTATACAAGCAATCCCAGTAAGAGGGAGAGACTATGGGATATATGGATGCTTCAATACTGACAAAGAAACAACTTCTAGCTCAGTGTTCTAACATCCGCAAACGGCAGCTCCTATCATAACTAGAGATTGATGAGGTACAACAAACATGCTACGGCAAGGGGGAGCCAGGACGACAGATCAGCGGGGAGATGTTATCGTCATCATCCCCACATTCAGAGATTGGGTCCCAAGCCCCAATATCAACAAGCCCTTACGGTACCGAATCACTCAACATAAGGGCGACTGACTTACTACGATTGAAGATCATAACCAAGCTGGACCCCCAAGTATGACCAAGATTGCCAAGGCTAAGTGACAAAGTACCCTCTGAAAGTCTGCTAGAAGATGTGAATGCAGCACCACATACTATCCCTACTAAAGCCATAACCAAGACCAATGAGCTGATGTACGCCACAGCAACAGTGATCCTAGCGATGCTTGGCTATAAGAACACCACAAGCCACAAATAGCATTACCCCCCATGGAGAAGAAGGCTAGAGGTCAAGGTCAAGGCAACACGAAGAGAGGTTAGTCAGCTCTCAGAGCTACAGAAATGTGCAAGGAAGGGGCTACCTAAGAAATACAACAAGCTGTCGATACCGGAGGCTCTGGAGACTGTCAAACAAAGACTGACCGCTCTGGCTACCCGCCTAAAGAGATACAAGGGAGAAGCAGAAGCCAGGAGAATAAACCGGATGTTCTCCACCGAACCATCCAAAGTGTACTCTCAGTGGCAGGGTGATTTGTTCCTCAAATCGCTTTGGATAAAAGCTTCTGCCAAATGAGTAAATGTAAATGATTACACAAGATCAGATCCACCCAGGGCTGAGATTAAACAGTTCTGGAAGAACATATGGGAGAAAGAGGCATCCCACAACACCAATGCTCAGTGGCTAGTGGATCTAAGAACAGATCACAGCAATCTCCCAGAACCTGCAAAACCGCAGACATCCAAGAAAGAGTGGCAGGTATGAAGAGCTGGACAGCACCAGGCCCTGACATGATCCACACCTACTGGCTGAAGAAACTAACTGCACTCCATGAACGCCTGGCAGCAAAAATGAACCAACTGCTGATGGATGGGACCCACCCAGAATGGTTAACACAAGGACGGACAGTCCTGATCATGAATGATCCCCAGAAGGGAACAATCCCATCCAACTATCGGCAAATAACCTGCCACTGCACAACATGGAAGCTCCTTTCAGGCATCATAGCGGCTAAGATGAGTAGGCACATGGCTCAATACATGGACAGGGCCCAGAAGGGAATGGGTAGTAATACCAGGGGAGCCAAGCACCAGCTACTGGTTGATAGAGCAGTCACTCGAGACTGCAAGACCAGGCAGACCAAAATGTGCACCGCCTGGATTGACTACAAGAAACCCTACAACTCAATGCCACATACATGGATACTGGAATGCTTGGAAATGTACAAGATCAACAGGACACTAATAGCCTTCATCAAAAACTCAGTGGGGCTGTGGAAAACAAGTCTGGAAGCCAACTCAAAGCCAATCGCACAAGTCACCATCAAGTGCGGCATATACCAAGGCGATGCACTATCCCCGCTGCTGTTCTGCATTGGCCTGAACCCCCTCAGCCAGATCATCACAAAGAATGGCTATGGATACCGGTTCCGAAGTGGAACAACTATCAGTCACCTCCTCTACATGGATGACATCAAGCTGTATGCCAGAAATGAGCGAGACATCGACTCACTGATCCACACTACCAGGATCTACAGCAATGACATTGGTCGTTCAGACTGGACAAGTGTGGTCGCATGGTATCAAAAATAGGGAAGATGATCAGAAACGAGGGGATTGAACTACCAGAAGGCCACATTGCAGATGTTCAGGACAGCTAAAATACCTTGGGGTGCCACAGGCTAACAGAAACCACGAGGAGGCAGCAAGGAAATCCGCCATAGCCAAATACCTTCAGAGAGTGAGGCAGGTCCTGAAAAGTCAGCTAAATGGGAAAAACAATATCCGAGCCATCAACACATCCGCCCTGCCAGTCATCAGATACCCTGCTGGTATAATAAACTGGCCAAAGGAGGAGATAGAGGCTACTGACATCAAGACAAGAAAGCTCCTCACAATGCATGGAGGGTTTCACCCCAAATCCAGCACCCTGAGACTGTACACCAAGCGTAGCGAGGGAGGCCGAGGGCTAGTGAGTGTCAAGGCCACTGTCCATGATGAAACGACGAAGATCCAGGAGTACATCAGGAAGATGGCCCCCAAAGATGAAGGGATTAGTGAATACCTCAGGCAGCAGAAACCCGAAGGTGAGGAAAAGGAAGATGAAACACCTTCATGGAGGGACAAGCCGCTGCACGACATGTACCACAGTCAAATACAAGAAGTGGCTGATTTCACGAAATCCTACCAGTGGCTGGAAAAGGCTGGACTGAAGGACAGCACAGAAGCACTAATCATGGCGGCACAAGAACAGGCACTCAGTACAAGATCAATAGAGGCTGGGGTCTACCACACCAGGCAGGACCCCAGGTGCAGACTGTGCAAGGAGGCCCCTGAGACAGTCCAGCACATAACAGCAGGATGCAGGCAGGAAGTGCGTACATGGAACGCCATAACCAGGTAGCTGTCATAGTGTACAGGAACATCTGCCATGAGTATGGACTGGAAGTCCCAAGGTCAAAATGGAAGACACCTCCTAAGATAGTTGAGCATGACCGAGCTAAGATCCTGTGGGACTTCAAGATCCAGACTGACAAACTGGTGATGGCTGACCAACCAGACATCGTGTTGATCGACAAACAGCTGAAGAAGGCTGCAGTGATAGATGTGGCAATCCCAAGAGACAGCAACATCAAGAAGAAGGAACACAAGAAGCTTGAGAAATACCAAGGGCTGAAATAGGAGCTAGAAAAGATGAGAGTGGTAATCGGAGCACTGGGGGCTGTGACCCCCAAACTGGGAGAGTGGCTACAGCAGATTCCAGGTAAAACATCAGAGGTCTCTGTCCAGAAGAGTGCAGTCCTAGGAACAGCTAAGATACTGAGCAGTACCCTCAAACTCCCAGGCCTCTGGTAGAGGACCCGATCTTGAAGATTACACATACCACCCCGCAAGGGCTGGGAGGGGGATTTTTTATGTATATTATATATATGGGATATCGACCATCTCACGCGCTGCCTGGGCAAAAACTACCATTTTGACTAAAAGTGGGCTACAAACAGCCGGTTTGACCAGAAGCTAAATCCTGGCTACACATAGAACATGTGAAAGAAATGAAACCAAAGCCTTTTAATCACTGTTGACTTTGCTTACATGATGGAATATCATAAACCTTGCAAGTCATTTTGGCAAAAATGTCTTGTAACCAAATTTAAGGTGATTGTGTCTAGAAGTGGGTTACTCATAGCCAGACTGAATCAGGTCTATAGTTAATCCAGACAGTGAAATGACGGCTATTTCTTGCTGGGTTGAAATTAATAATCATGTAAAATCTTTTTAGCGTTGCGCGGCTGCTGAATAAATAAAGCGGAAACACTGGAAGTCCCGGTGAGCCAGTGTGACAGTTTAAGTGGTGGCTGAAGTAACAGCTGATCAGATGTGTGGCAGGCGTGGCTTGAGGATCTCTGACCTGCTAACCAGGAAATCCGTTCAGATCACTTTGTTTATCTACCTAATGCATATTTCTGTAGAAATCTGCTTCTGAATGTAGTTTGTACATCGCTCTCCTGCACGTTGATTCACAGGGATCTCTCTAACCTGCTCATTAGGTCAAAGTGAGGACTATGAGAGTGATCATGTAGGTAACTGTGTCGATGCCTGTTCAAAACACTACAGACGTCAGTAAATGGTCCAGATGTTCATGTTGACTGCTTTGTGTCCTTATGGTGTTTAATGTGTTTGTACTTACATACAGCCTATAGGGAAACAGGCTGAGCTGTTTGTTGATGCTCAGCTGGAACGCAGTAACACATCAGCTGTGCTGGAACAACAAAACACCTGAACTGAAGTCCAGAAGATGGAAGAGGAGGACAGAGCAGAGTCTGCAGGATCCAGCTGTCTGTCTATGAAGAGTGACTGGTCCAAAGGAGGAATTCCTCCAGACTTCAGTCCTGAACCTGGACCCTCAGACACAAAGTAAGAGACTGTTTTTACTGTAAACTGACCTGAAGGAAGATGAGGATGAAGACAAAATGTTGTGCTAAAAGAACTGTTAGTGCAGATACTGTTTCAAACTAAGATGGAACACCTGAAGCTCCATTTCAGAATTTACACTTCAAGAAAATCTTCCTATATTTTTTCTCACGTTGACGTCACTGTAAAGATTTAGAACGATTCAGAATCTGAAAGAATCTGCTTCAAATGGGTCATTTTCTCCTATTTGTCCTCTAAACACTGAGCTGTTTGGCTCTTCCTCAGATCAGCTGTTCTGATCCACCAGATGCATCTTGAATCACTTCAGATCATAATTGTGGAGCTTTGAGCTCAGATTCTCTCCACCATATATTGTTCCTAAAGGTGAAGAACAAACGTCCACGGGCAGCTCTGATGGAAAAGTTAGCAGTGGATGGAAAAAGGGCAGAAAATGTTCCCATGGAGATTTGGACCACTTCTCTTTTTTAGATTCTTTGAATTGTTTTCATGTGATAGTTGACAGTAGAGTGTGACAGGAAACAAAATGACATACAAACAAGGCTCCGTGTGGACTCGCTGTTACATGCTGTGTGTTTAAGCTCAGTTCAAAGCTAGCTAACTCAAGCTAAGCTGCCAGAGTGATTGTAAAACAGTGAAGGACGTAATCAGCTCTCTTTGATGGAGGCTTTTATTGTGAAGGAGCTGCAGGAAGTGTTGAGTTTGTGTTAATAACAAGCTACAGGCAGATCACTAAATGTTTAATAAGACAGTCAGACAGGAAATGCAGTTAATTAGTGTTTCTGAAATCAGGACAGCTGAAATAAGGATCAATCATCTTCATTACTGACTGAAAGCTGAATTCAAACAGAAAACAGAAACACTTTTATTGTTCTCTGTGGCCATCTGAGCTTCTGCACAGTGTCGGCCAAATCTGGATATTTTCAACAACACGCAACATATCATTTTAGTTCTAAATAAATGTATCCCACAGTGACTGCTAATAGAGGAGTAGGAACACAGGAGATTGGGCCCAAATGCAGACAACGGAGGCATAGTATGTGCTGTTCAGAGATTTAATAATGTAGAGGGACAAAACGCTAGACTCAGGCCCGCTGGAAGTCCAGATCGGTCCTCAATACTTAACAAGTATTGCTGGTAGATAACACTTGGAGTTCGAAAGAAGTTACTGGAGTCGGTCAGAGATCGATGCAATAGAGTTTATTGTTAAAGCAAGACAAAACCCGAGCAAGCCTTATCAGACCGGTAAGGCACACTGAAAACATGGTGTGGCGCTTCTCATTATAAAGCTCTGGGCTCTCCCCAGGGAGGTGGGGCCCCTGCGAGATACCTGCCTATTTTTCAATTTAATGTAGCCATTAATTAGTTCTACTGGTGTAAATCTCTTCTTTGATGTTTTCTTTTACGACTTCGTCTTAAAAACCCCGTTCCTCTATAATCTTCTATTCTCCTTAAAAACATTAAGTCATCTTTATTGTCAGTTAACTGTATAAACACATTTTCTGAGGGTACTATTTCGTAGTCGTAAAATTTTTAAGACCTTTATGTGTTATAAGACACCAGTAAACTCTCGGGTCAGGCACTTCCCAGAGTTTGGGCCCCCTTAAGAGCGTCTCTGGTCATCTACCAGTAGCTTCCAAATTTATAGGCCCTGTTTTTAAAAAAATGATCTATGTCTCCGTAACCATAATATCTGTCACAGGTATGGAGATCTATGTCCCCATCCGCATACCTTCTGTCATAGATATGGGGCCCAGAAATTATATAATATCTGGGTACACGATCTTTTCTGCTTTCCCACTGAGTAGTATCTAAGTCCTACAATAAATCTCAGGTGCATATGCTTTTATTTGCATGCCCTTTTTGACCCATCCCTATTATACACATTCCACTGAACACTTATGAGAGGTTCATCTTTCTTGGCCTGTCAAATTTGGTCTTATACGGAGGGTATAGCAGCACCTCAGAGTTCAGTTTAACACAGATCTACCTAGGGATGTTACGTGCTTATACAAATGTCTGAAAAACATAAGGCATAACATACTAATAGATGATACATTGAGTAAATGGTACATTCTTACTCAACAATGTCAACTGGGGCAAGAAACTGACAGGCTGGTGAATTGTCAGTAGAGCCCGACCAATATGGGTTTTTGGGGGCTGATGCCGATATTAAAGTGAAAAGGAGCCGATTTAGGAGCCGATATTTCAATTTTGAGAGTAGACCCCTTTACTGTATAAACTAAATTAAGAACAGGCCGATATTGAAAGCTGGTATGTATGTGAGCAATAAAACCTTTTCCTAAATGATGTATGTTAATAAAATAGATTACTGTTTTAAAAAGTGAACATGTAAACAATTGCACATCAATAACTATTTGCTGATGGAAGGTGCAGCAATCATCTTCATCACAGACTGAAAGCTGAATTCAAGGAGAAACGTACTGAAACCAGATGAGAGGAAAAACAGGAAACACAAAGACAGTAGAGGAAGCAGTTAACAAAATAAAACAGGAAATAATAACCCTCAAAGCCAAAACCATGACAACATGTCTTCACAGAGAGAGGAAGAGGAGTCATGTTTCTGTGGAGGAGCAGCCGTCCTGCTGTGCTTTGTGTCAGGACGTCCTGAAGGATCCAGTCTCTACCAGCTGTGGACACTGGTTCTGCAGACGGTGCATCACCTCATACTGGGACCAGTCTGCTTCATCAGGACACTCCTCCTGTCCCCAGTGTGGAGAAAGAACCAGAGCTGGACTGCAGACAGCCAGTCAGAGCAGCTCTGTACAAAGTAAGACTGTCCATCTGTCTGCTGATGTCCTCATGTCTGAAAACAGGATTCTTTCTTTGCCTCGCAGCATTTAAAATGTTGCTGTCTCAGCCAATCAGAAACATTTTCAATAGGATTCATTTTTCTTATTGGTTGTTTTTATGTTGGTGCTAATGAATAATTCCTACTAATGATTCTTTCTTCTGTGACAGTGGATGGCAGTCTGCAGGAGGTTTTAGATGAACATAAGATCAGTCTGAGGAGGAGATGTGAACGTGTGACTGAAGGAAGTGATGAAACAGGAAGTGGAACCCTCCTCAACAGGATCTACACTGAGCTCTACATCACAGAGGGACAGAGTGAAGAGGTTAATACCCAGCATGAGGTGAGGCAGCTTGAGACAGCTTCCAAGAAGAAGACCCTCCATGACACTCCAATCAGGTGCCAGGACATCTTTAAAGCCTTACCTGGCCAACAGGAGCCATCAGAGTGGTTCTGACCAACGGCGTCGCTGGCGTTGGAAAAACCTTCTCGGTGCAGAAGTTCACTCTGGACTGGGCAGAGGGCTCGGAAAACCAAGATGTCGGTCTGCTGGTTCTGCTCTCGTTCAGGGAGCTGAACTTGATCAAAGATGAGCGGCACAGTCTCCTCACGCTGCTCCATGTTTTCCATCCAACATTACAGAAGGTCCCAGCAGAGAAGCTCGCCGTCTGGAAACTGTTGTTCATCTTTGACGGCCTGGATGAAAGCAGACTTTCATTGGATTTCCACAACAGTGAGGTTGTGTCTGATGTCACACAGAAGTCATCAGTCAACCTGCTGCTGACAAACCTCATCGAGGGGAATCTGCTTCCCTCGGCTCTCGTCTGGATAACTTCCAGACCTGCGGCGGCCAATCAGATCCCTCCTTCGTGTGTTGGCAGGGTAACAGAAGTACGAGGCTTCACTGACGCCCAGAAGGAGGAGTACTTCAGGAGGAGAGTCAGTGATGAAGAGCTGTCCAGCAGAATCATCTCACACATCAAGTCCTCCAGGAGCCTCCACATCATGTGTCTAATCCCAGTCTTCTGCTGGATCACTGCTACAGTTCTGGAGCACATGTTGACTACAGAGCAGAGAGGAGAGCTGCCCAAGACCCTGACTGACCTGTACTCACACTTCCTGCTGGTTCAGATAAAGAGGAAGAAGCAGAAGTACGATGAGGGACATGAGACGAGTCCACAGGAGCTGACGGAGGCTGACAGGAAGGTTCTTCTGAAGCTGGGGAGGCTGGCGTTTGAACAGCTGGAGAAAGGAAACATCATGTTCTACCAAGAAGACCTGGAGCAGTGTGGTCTTGATGTCACAGAGGCCTCGGTGTACTCAGGAGTTTGTACAGAGATCTTCAAAAGAGAGAGTGTGATCTTCCAGAAAACAGTCTACTGCTTTGTTCATCTGAGCGTTCAGGAGTTTCTGGCTGCAGTCTACATGTTCCACTGTTTCACCAGCAGGAACAAAAAGGTACTGAAGGACTTCCTGGGGAAACACTGGGACAGTGATTCATTCATTGATGACAACGATGAAGACGAAGACGAAGACGAAGATGAAGACGACAACAACGACAACAACGACTGCGGCTACAACGGCTACAACGACAGACGGGATAATGACAATGACTCATCCCTGGATGTCTTCCTGAGGAGTTCCATGGAGAAATCTCTCAAAAGTGAAAATGGCCACCTGGACCTGTTTGTTCGCTTCCTTCATGGCCTCTCTCTGGAGTCCAACCAGAGACTCTTAAGAGGCCTGCTGGGTCGGACAGACAACAGTCCAGAAATCATCCAAAGAGCCATCAACAACCTGAAGGAGATGAACATGTACATGAACTGGATCTCTCCTGACAGAAGCATCAACATCTTCCACTGTCTGACGGAGATGAACGACGACTCAGTACATCAGGAGATCCAAGAGTTCTTGAAGTCAGCAAACAGATCAGAGAAGAAACTCTCTGTGTTCCACTGCTCAGCTCTGGTCTACATGCTGCAGATGTCAGAGGAGGTTCCGGATGAGTTCGACCTGGAGAAGTACAACACATCAGACCAGGGACGACAGAGACTGATTCCAGCTGTGAGGAACTGCAGAAAGGCTCGGTAAGTCCAGATGTGATTATCAACACTGTAAAGCTGAAGCATCAGTATTCCAGTAAAGATCCAACAGTTTCTGGGTGCTGCAGCACATTACCTGTAACACACACATTTCCACTGTGGGTTTCATTGAATCTGCGGCCACAGTCTTTGTGTATTTAGCAGTTGGTTTCCTCAGACAGCAGCTCATTACACAGTCAGCTGCTGGGACAGCAGATGAAAAGCAGATAGAGTGACATTAGATGCATCAAAGATGCACAAAACACACACAAGCACATGACCGAGGTAAATCCATACGAGTGCAGTTCCAACCTGCAGCGATTTTACAGTTGAGTGAAAATCACGTTAAAATAAAATAACACAAATCACAGTACCCTGTCAATCACAATATGACATTACAGTCATTTGGCAGACACTTTTGTCCCAAGCAGTAATAATGTGGTTCATTGTGTTGCTCAAGGACACTTGGACATGTGGACAGGCCTCATCAGGATGATTGAATAAAATATAGATTAATTGATTAGACATGTTTTTTATATTTATTTTGGATAAATTGGTATGTTAATCGAGGAATAGGCAACTTTTATTTCTTTAGAATAAACAAAATTAGTCGCTAGATTAATCGACTAGTCGAAACAATAATCGTTACATTAATCGATTTATAATAATCGATATTTACAGCCCTAACGTGCTCCTTTTTGTATCTAACTGCCCGGGCTCAGCAGTGGCATGTGTGTGTGTGTGTGTGAGCAAGCACGTGTGCTTTAGGAGAAGAGTGAGGGAGCACAGTAAGAATGGCAGCATCAGAAACACCAGCAAAGGAAAATGTAGAAGCAGATTTTGTGATAATTGTGTTACAAAACATACAACAATATAGTCCATCACAGTAAGAATGTCCTGTTTCTAGCACAGGGCACAAACAACACCAGTTTATTCCACAAAGTCAGGTTATGAATGAAATAGTAGGCTCAGCGGAGGGCATGCAAAGGACACAGAGAGGAGGAGCAGTGCAGTCAGGGACTTCCCCACCAAATGCTGAAAATGCTGAGGCACGTGAAAATCTGGGACCAGACCCAGGTGCAATAAGAAAGGGAGCCAAGAGATGTTGTGAAGCCAAGAAACAGAGCTATAAAAGGAGGTCCAGAAGGAGGTGAAAGTCAGTTGTTACATGGTTTTCATGTGGACTCGGGTCTCTGTTCTGGTAACAGAATGGGGCTCTATTTTGCACCAATCTCACTCCGGTGGAACTTTTGTATTCTAATTGGTGTCTAGTTCTGTTAATAAAAATGTTGGTAAAATTTCAAGCTTTCTTATCTGGCCCAAGTCTTGAATTTTTTGCACGACAGGAGGAGTCAGAGAGAAACTCAGCGTTTGTTGAAGGAAATCTCCTCCTGAGGACGTTAAGTTCACAGTGTAAGTTGCCGGGGTTACAGATCTAGGGTTTATCTGATCTCGGTCTCTGAAACGGAAAACCCAGAGTTTCCCTCATCTCAGGCTCAACTTACTCAGAGCTTTCAGAAAATGCACTTTCTGAAACAGGGCCCAGATATGAGAGACAGTGCAGGGCCACCACAACACACCGGATGCTAATTTGAAAGTAAAAGAGAGAGTGGCACCAGTATGGGCCTTGTAATCCTCTTGTGGTTACAGAGGCACTATATTCCCTATCAATTTATTTATTTTTTAGGTTATTTTGGGTGGCCTTTTGTTGCCTTTATTTTTAGATAGTAGCAGCTGTAAGTTAACTTACACAGATAGAGAGTGGGTGGGTGGGGGACATGTAGCAAAGACACAGGGGCTGGAATTACTGCATCCATTTGAGCTGGTCTAATGTTAACGTTAGATCTCACATAATGTTTATATGGCTGTGTGTTTCCAACGCATGTGTGAAGTCGGCAAACCACAGCTGAACTCAGATTTACCCTGGTTTCTGCGCATTTTGACACGTTGATAAAATTTATAACGTTACAGCGTTTATGCAGAAAAATTACATTGTTTGCATAATAACGTCTTCCAGTAGCTTCAACCAAGTCCAGTTGCCCTTCATTTTAACCTTCGTTGGATAACTATGACCTGGATGACTGAGAATCTTCATAGACATCTTGCTAATCATTTTGGGATGAACACCCTCAGATTGGTACGGGAGTATGAAAGGACAGCCAGGAAAATTGCAGACTACAGGAATCACCTACGATTTAACCTGAGATGCAGACAACACAAACTTATTCCCAACAGCCTACACTTAGGCTCCACGGTAAAAGGACACAGAGCCGGAATAATCCTGGAGAAAGCACAACACCAGCTACTGAACGAGAGAGTGAGACAGATACACTTCACAATTGAAGCCCTGAACAAAGAAATGGACAACATACACCACAAACTAGAAACATATCTGCCCAGTACAGCACTGGGAAAGGTCATGGACTTCATCAAGAAAGCACAGCTATCTCAGCACAACAAGAGCAAAGAAAGACAGACCCGGAAATTCCAAAACCTACAGTCCAGAGCGAGCTGCACTAACAAAACAGGAGAATTGTCTTGGAGGAGAAAGGACAATAACCCCACAACACTTGAAACAGACAACAGATGGGTGAAAAACTTGTCAGATAGGGAACTCACCCAACCAGAGAAAGACGTTTTGGCCAAAGGATTAAACTTTGCCATTACACCACAGCAACTACCGATAGTAGACCTCATCACAGCCACAGAATCGGCCATTAGGAAAAACAAATTAACAGAAACAGAAGCGGAATAGCTCAGACTAAAGGTATCTGCATCCCTTTCTAATGCGAAGGCCCCCCCTTCCAACCTCACCATCCAAGAAAGGAAGGCTGTGACATCCCTGAGCAAGGATCACAACATCACTATCCTACCTGCGGACAAAGGAAGATGCACGGTAGTACTTAACACAGCTGACTACCAGAACAAAGTCAACACACTACTAATGGACACAAACACGTATGAGACACTGAGACGAGACCCAACCAGCGGATACAAGAAAAAGGCCATAGAATGTCTACAACAGTTACAGAAGGACAGCACCATCACCCGTGAACAATATTACCGTTTGTATCCTGGAGAAGCCATTCCATGCATTTATGGACTACCCAAGATACACAAAGAAGGAGCCCCACTCAGGCCGATTATCAGCAGCATTAACTCGGTCACCTACAACATTGCCAAACACATTTCCACCATCTTAGCTCCATTGGTGGGAAACACGCCTCACCACATTCAAAACTCTATTGACTTTGTAAACAAAGTTCGAGGACTAAAACTGGATCCAGATGAAACCATGGTATCCTATGACGTGACTTCTTTGTTCACCTGCATCCCCACCATAGAGGCAGTAGAAACCGTTAGGAAACGGCTAACACAAGACAACACCCTGGACAACAGAACTAGCCTCAGCCCTGACCAAATCTGCAAATTACTCGACCTCTGTCTAAACACCACCTATTTCCAGTACAACGGTGGATTCTACAGACAGAAGCATGGCTGTGCCATGGGCTCACCGGTATCCCCGATTGTGGCCAACATCTACATGGAAGAAGTGGAGAATAAAGCCCTCAACTCCTTCAGAGGAACAGCACCGAGCCACTGGTACAGATATGTGGACGACACCTGGGTCAAAATCAAAAGCCAGGAAGTGCAAGCCTTCACAGAACACATCAACTCTGTGGACAGTAACATCAAGTTCACACGAGAAGATGTTCACAACAACAGTTTGGCCTTCCTGGACTGCGCTGTACACATTGAAGAGGACAGGAGCCTGCAGATTGGTGTTTACAGAAAACCCACACACACAGACCAATACCTACTGTTCGATTCCCACCACCCACTGGAGCACAAGCTAGGGGTCATGAGAACACTGCACCACAGAGCGGAAAACATACCAACAAGCGCCCAAGCCAGAGAGAAGGAACAGAACCACCTGAAGGGGGCACTTACAGCCTGTGGATACCCTAAATGGACCTTTGTGAAAACAGCCACAAGATCCAAGAAGAACAAAACTACAGGGGAGGAAAAGAAGGTCAAACGCAACAACATTGTGATTCCATACGTGTCTGGAGTATCAGAGAAACTCAGGAGGATTTTTAACAAACACAACATCCCTGTGTTTTTTAAACCCAAGAACACACTAAGACAGATGCTGGTACACCCCAAAGACCGCACACCCAAACACAAGAAAAGCAATCTAGTGTATGCGGTCCAATGCAGTGAGGAATGCACAGACCTGTATATTGGGGAGACTAAACAACCACTACACAAACGCATGGCTCAACACAGAAGGGCCAACTCCTCAGGTCAAGACTCTGCAGTCTACTTACATCTGAAGGACAGAGGACACTCGTTTGAGGACCACCAGGTGCACATTTTAGACAGAGAAGATGGATGGTTTGAAAGAGGTGTCAAGGAAGCCATCTACACCAGGGTTGAGAAGCTGTCATTGAACAGGGGAGGGGGTCTATGCCACCACTTATCCCCCACTTACAATGCTGTCCTTTCATCACTTCCCAGGAAACTCAACAAACGTAACCTATTGGCCTCAGGTGAAGATACCAACGATGGTCGTTCAGTCTTGGCCACAGGTAGTCTCAACGACTGTAACGACTGTCGTCACAGCAACAAGGAACACTAACGAACCAGCGGTATCGATGACCCGGGATAACGACCCCACTGAGGTTAAATAGCTGAGTTTCCCTGCCAGTCAGTCAGAACTGAAGAAGTCCTTTGGATAAGGGACGAAACGTCTTCCAGTAGCTTCAACCAAGTCCAGTTGCCCTTCATTTTAACCTTCGTTGGATAACTATGACCTGGATGACTGAGAATCTTCATAGACATATTGTTTGCATAAATACGATGCTGCCATCTTGACAGCGCAAGTAAAGTTCAGAGTCAAACAACATTGGTTTTATTACATCATTGTTTCCTTCATCTTATATTCGTCTGTTTAACTACTGTTAACGTCAGGTAATTGAGTTTTTTTGAGATTTTAACATCATGTCGTATTTTAGTCTTTTCAGTGTTTTCTTGCTTTTATCTTGAATTGTTTTTTGTATTATTCTTTACACTAGTTAAAGCACTTTGTAACTTGTTTTTGAAAAGTGCACTACAATTAAAGATAAGATTATTATTACTATTATTATTATTATTACTCACCGGTTGATGTTAAACCACCGTAATGTTTGTAGTATCCAATATTTATGCATTTGACTCATAACAGTTCAAAATAGGACTGTAGCAGCAGAACAGAGGGTCAGTGACCTTCTAAGGGGAGAGCAGTGATTGGTGGTTATATAGGGACTGAACCCTTCTATAGAATTTGACCTCTAACCCCTTGTTTTGTTACCTAGAATAGTACTGTACCCTTCTATGGGATTGACCTTTTACTTTGCAGACTCAAACCCCTCTATGGTACCTAACAGATACTAAACATATCCTACATAAGCTGTGTTTGATGAACACAGAGACAGAGTGGCCGTCGGGCTGGGTCTCTCTCCAAGCTGCTGCAGAGCTTGTAATTGATGCTGAACTCCTTGATTTAATAAACTTTTATGATCAAGAACAGTGTCAAGCAGGTTTCCTCTCAACATATCAACGCAGCATTATTGTTCGGACACCACATGTTTCACCACAGCTGTCACCGTTCACCCGTCCAACAGCCAGAAAAGACTCCAGAAGAAGGCAAAGACGTTGCAAAAAGTTACGTTACACCACCAGACAACAAACTGAAAAATAAAAATAACAAGAGATGGACTTAAATCACGACAATACGACTATGTGAACACATCAAAAACTCCTAAACTTCGGTCAAGCCAGCCACCCTCATACATTGGATGCAAAGAGGTTTAACGTTAACAGACGTTAATGTACCGCCTAGCTTGCAGCAGAAAAGCATAACGTTATTAACGGTAATGTAATCCACTGCATCTGAGTCAGTGCAGACTGTCATGGCCTCTCCACGCCTCCCCTGGACTCTGCGTTGTGTTTTGGCAGGTGTTGTGGAGGCACCAGACACTGGATTCGGGATTCTCTTTATTGCTCCACTGCAACAAACCTCTCTCTGATACATAGCCTTACCTTACCTTACAGGGCACGGAAAGTAAACATAAAGCATTTTTCTTCTAGCAAAAATAAATTAATCTCTTACTTAAAAATAAAGAGAAATGAAATAAAGGTTAATGTACAGTCAAATGAAATACATCTCTAAAAAGAGCTTAATATTTATATTTATTCATTTAGCGGACGATTTTATCCAAAGCGACTTACAATTGCTATACATGTCAGAGGTTGCACGCCTCTGGAGCAACTAGGGGTTAAGTGTCTTGCTCAGGGACACAATGGTGGATGGGTCACAGTGGGGGATTGAACCCGGGTCTCACACCAAAGGCATAGTCTTATCCATTGCGCCATCGCCAAAACACAAACTCTAAATGCAAGGTACAGAAAACAGCAAATGCCCCATCATACATTTATTTTACTCAGATTAAATCATCTAATGACTTACAGTGCACTAGTTAGGTTAATCAGGGGCCAACCAAGTATCCTTGAACCCCGAATTGCCTCTCGTGTGATTTAGCTTCTGTTTGAGCACTTAGGCCCAGTGAATGTATGTGTGTGACTGAAGATGTAGTGTAGTGCTTTGAGTGGTCGAAAAAGACTAGAAAGGCGCTATACAAGTATGGAGCATTTACATTTAACCAAGAGTCACCAACAGCAAGAAAGACATACCAAGTTAACTGTAGGCTAGCAGCATTTACAAGTCTCACAAACGATGGATGAGTGGTTTTAGCACTGATATTTAAAAATTATTCAGATTGCTATTAACACTGCTTACCTTACAGGGCACGGAAAGTAAACATAAAGAAACATGGCGGCCCCGCCGGAACGTAAATTAAAACTGTAGTGTCCTACAAGGTACAAACTGCACGAACTGCTGAACGTACTGAGGAATAGACAGCGCAACAGGGACACCTAAGGGCTTATACAGGCAGCTGCCTTACAGTAACATTAAACGTTAACAGGCATTACTGACTAGCTAGCGGCAGAGGAACATAACGTTATTAACGGTAACGTTAAACGTAATCGATTACTGAGGACATTGTCAAAGATTTCTCTCAATGCAGGATCGTCGGATGCCATTCAGTTAGGTGAGTAACTTTACACGTGCTTTTTCAGTGGATCTGGTGTGGCTGCCATGACGCTGTTTTACAGGCTGTTATCATTTCGTGGTCAGGTCGCTGTTGAGTAGGTCTAACTTACCTGTTTGTGTGGATGTGCATGTGGGTATTAAACTGTGTGCGAGTTGTAGCTGGCCTGTTTTCAGAATATGGTGTTATGTTATGAGTAGGCCACTTTTCTTTCTTATTCATCATAATGTCTTGCCTCTCTGTCGAAGAGGAATGTGGTTGTTGTGATTTGGGAGGCTATTGTACTGAAATTGCCCAAAAAAGTCTGCGTCTTTTCAGCACAGTGGACACCTCCTGCACTCAGCTGTTTGTAGTGACGTTTCAGGATTTTGACAATGACAGCACTGGCCATACTCCTTTACTTCTCCTGGACTTCCTCTCTAGTAGAGGCTGATGGGAGATTCTCGTCAGTTTCCCTGGTGGAAATCACCGAGGTAGTCAAACAACTCCATAGTGGCAAAGCCCCAGGGATTGATGAGATCCAACCAGAAATGCTAAAAGCTTTGGGTGTGGAGGGGCTGTCTTGGATGACATGTGTCTTTAACACTGAGTGGAAGTCGAGTACAGTGCCCAAGGAGTGGCAGACTGGGGTGGTGGTTCCCCTGTTCAAAAAGGGGGAGCAGAGAGTGTGTGCCATTTACAGGGGTATCACACTTGTCAGCCTCCTTGATAAAGTCTACTCCAAGGTGCTGGAAAAGAGGGTTCGGCCGATAGTCGAACCTCGGATTGAAGAGGAACAATGCGGTTTTCGTCCTGGTCGTGGAACAATGGACCAGCTATTTACTCTCACAAGGATCCTGGAGTGGGCTTGAGAGTATGCCCATCCAGTCTATGTGTGTTTTGTAGATCTGGAGAAGGTGCACAACCGAGTACCCCGGGAGATACTGTACGAGGTGTTGCGGAAGTATGGGGTTAGGGGGTCCCTACTCAGGGCTATCATATCCCTGTACATCCAAAGCACGAGCTGTGTCCGATTAATCAGCAGTAAGTCGGACTCTTCACAGGTGAGGGTTGGTCTTCGCCAGGGCTGCACTTTGTCACAGTCCTGTTTGTGATATTCATGGACAGGATATCGAGGCACAGTCGTGGTGGGGAGGGGTTTCAGTTCGGTGGGCTTGAGATCTCGTCACTGCTTTTTGCGGATGATGTGGTCATGATGGCATCATCGGCCCAGCACCATCAGCTCTCACTGGATCGGTTCGCAGCAGAGTGCGAAGCGGTTGGGATAAGGATTAGCACCTCTAAATCTGAGGCCATGGTTCCCAACAGGAAACCAGTGGAGTGCCAACTCCAGGTAGGGAATGAATCCTTACCCCAAATGAAGGAGTTCAAGTACCTCGGGGTCTTGTTCACGAGTGAGGGGAGACTGGAGCAGGAGAATCGGAGCGGCGTCATCTATGGTCATGAAGGCTGGGTCATAACTGAAAGAATGAGATCGTGGGTACAGGCGGCCGAAATGGGTTTCCTCAGACGGTTGGCTGGTGTCTCCCTTAGAGATAGGGTGAGATGCTCAGCCATCCGCGAAGAGCTCAGAGTAGACCTGCTGCTCCTTTGCGTCGAAAGGAGCCAGTTGAGGTGGTTTGGGCATCTGGTAAGGATGCCTCCTGGACGCCTCCCTAGGCGTCCAATCTTACCAGTTTTTAAACTGTGGCAAAACGAGAAAATAAGCCACTTACATTTGCCAATATAAGTTTCCCTTCTAGACACAAACGCAGTGTGCGTATGTGCTTTGTAACGGTGTAGCCCAAGGGCCCATCATAACAGCCTGCACTGGGGCCCATTGTTACTACCTTACGCCACTGAATCTGTCAGTTTAGTTCTGTGGCTGAATCACCCAGTTGACAGCTGCCTCGCTGCCTGCGTCCTCCGCTGTCTACAAAGATTACACTGTAACTACTGGGCCTCATAACAATAACATTAAAGTTCCCCGTGTCCCCCGGCTGCTCTGCTTCAACACTCTGTGATTTACGGAGGTTGCTGATGAACAGAAGTGTTACTTGTTGCTAAGGTAACCGCTGACAGCTGCTGCTCTCTAATTAGCTCAGTTAGCCTAGATGTCATAGCTGTCTCAGTCCAGACTGGGAACTCGCAGCACCTGGGAAGTGTTTTGTGTTTAATGTTACACCTATACTCAGGCACTGGAGATTTTCAAGCCGAGATAACGTCAGTGAGCGGTGCCGGATTGGGCACCAGAACTGGAGCCAAGCGTGCGGTTACAAAACTGAGCTCAGCAGCCTCCCAGTGATTTACAGAGTTTGTTGATGGACAGATACATTTACTTTTTGATAAACCGCAAACAGCTAACGTTACTGACTGTATCTGTAGCTAGTTAGCTCGGGTAGCCAGGCAGCTAGCAGTCCTAGCTGAGTCAGCCCCGGGGTGCCAAGAGCCAAACCCGGCAAGAACAACTTCCAGTTTTCCACCTTCCATTTTAAACCACTAACTTGCAAAACAGTTAAAAACCAACATGAATCGTGACAAGATCGTGAATCGTGATCCTGCCTGAAATAAATCGTGATATGATATTTTTGCCATATCACCCACCCCTAATTTTAAGTTCTCTGTCATCACAGACTTTGTGGCTATGAACTCTCAGTGACTCACTTTGAAGTTGTGGCCTCAGCTCTGAAGTCCAACCCCTCCCATCTGAGAGAGCTGGACCTGAGTAACAACGACCTGCAGGGTTCAGGAGTGAAGCTGCTGTCTGCTGGACTGGAGAGTCCAAACTGTAGACTGGAGACTCTGAGGTCAGTTCATGTATTCTGCTCTTGTCCAGTATATATATACCAAATTTAAATCCATAACATAAGTTTTAAATTTACTTCACTTCTTCTTGTTTTCTGGGTTTTTCTGAGCTCATATCACAACAGCTCTTTTTAAAAGTGTGTCAGTCTGAAGAGTTTGGCTCCATATTTAGTATGAACTCTAAGTGGATTGTCAGGGAAAATAATTCCTTCCCAAATAATACGGAGTGACCAATGCTAATTTCTCCAAGTTAGTAAAGTGAATCCTAAGAATCACAATTTATTTCTCACATTCCCTCCTTTTGACACAAAGTATCAACACAATATTTTTGAGAAATCAAAATGGTAGGATTCATTGTAGAAATGTCTTAGTGGGAATACAAAAATTGATAACATTAGATGTTTGACAAATAGTTAAAACAATGAAATTAGAAACAGAAATAAAAATAAAAATATGAAGGACTAGATTTGTAAAAACCTACATCATCTGTACATTAAAGTTGACCTACATGTGCTGGGCAGGTTTAAAAAAAATGTAGAATGATCTCAGAAAAACGTTTAATACAGGAGTGAAAATAGCCTACAAGCATGGTCATAATACCCTAGGGTCCAGAAATGGTCATTTACCCATTTGTTGGCAAGACAAAAAATGATACAATATGTATAATAAGGCCTGCATACAAAATCATAACAATAATGCTAAAAAAGAAATAAGCAGAAACAATAATTAAAAACATGAACAGAATTTGCTAAAAGAATAAATAAAGAACTAAAACAAATACACCAACAGATCATCTTTGTAATTCTAAATACAGGAATACTCCAGAAACAGTCATTGTCTTTACCTTGATTACATGGTTTATTTGTGGTTATTGTGGATCCCTCTTCTTCTGTCCTCTTCCTCCTGCGTTGGTAACATGCCAATGTCAATCTCCTCTTCTTGGATCTTCAATGGTTATGACAGTTCTTTACCTTTCTTGTGTGAAACAGTCCGTGTAGAGAATCAGTGTAAATGACATCAGTTCGACTGGTGAGTGCAAATGAATCAATAATCTGTGTGGGTGATGTGGTTATTTAAGTACTATTGGAGTCTGTTTGTTGAGAGCTCCTAGACTTGTAGGGAAACGTCTGTCATCTTGTTTGGAAAGTGACCAGAGCTGAAGTACTCTAAAACGTGCTGACCAGGATGATGGTGAGCACTACAGCCGTTGTCTTTCAGCAGAATGTCTTGCAGCAGAATTTTTCCGTTCGTCTCCATCTCTCAGGATGTCTCGTGTTGGGATGTACGGGTTCACATGTTTCTCTCAGCTCTTCTGGGAGGGGACTTCCAGTTGAAGTTGTCCGTATCACCCGGGATGATCTTGAATGTCTGGTAATGGTCTCACTGTTTTTACTGCCCGTCTAGATGTCGTGGAGAAAACTGTTGCTCTAGACTCATAGGAGACAATAAACCTTCAGAACACGGTTAAACACAGTGTCTTAACGTGTCGTCATCCAGGCTTGTCAACATTAAACCAGTTTCAGGGAAAGAAAATTGTTACTCATTACTACAAAGACTCTCATGCCTATGTGTGAGTGGTCATTAGTTCATTAGTAGAAAGCAAAATTAGTTTCAACAATTTAACACAACATTTTCAACACACCACTCAGAAATTTATTTATTTATTTTTTAAAATGTGTGTAAAATATCAGTGTCTACATGTAAATAACATCCAAAAAATGTTCTATGAGCATTATGGAGCACTTTAGACTTGATCAATGACTTCTGCTCCTGAATCAGACTAGGGTCTTTATGTAAATACTGGTTTCTCACTTATCATCAGTGGTGACACACAGCTTCCACTTCCTGCAGAATTGGATTATACATGGACAACAATTGCTTCATTGATGTAACCCATTTCTCACCACCAGTAGGAATGACACTTAAAGGAGGATTAGGCAGTTCTTCTGCAATTTCTCTTAGTTCATCTGACTGCCATGGCCGGTAAACAAACACTCACGTGTTCCTGCTCTCCCGTTGGTCGAGGCTGGGGATTTGGAAATGCCAACGTAGGCAGTAGCTGTGCATCCTTTTCTTGTCCATGGCTCATGAGCCAGTAGTCGGAAGATGCTGCGACTTGAGACAAATGTTTCTTGGGAAGAAAACAGTTAGTATGGGTGTTCTTCCCATTCTGTCTATTCTGTCACTGTTGTGTGGGGAGGGGGGGAAATTGACAGGTCTGGGTACAGTGCTGGTTAACCTCCCCTGTATTTCAGCCTTTTCCTGGGTCTGTTCAGCAGGGGGTATTACTTGCATGTGGATGAGTGGTTTCTGGTGTTACCAGGATGGGTGGCTTCGAGAGAACATATGGTGGCGGTAAATTCTTATCCGGCCTTTTGTGTTTATCTTTCTTTTCATCAATCAATCAATTTTTTCTTTTCCTATTTTCTTTGCTTTCCCTGTCAACATAATTCTACATCTCCCTGTACTCAGTGTGCCCAGGATAGGAAAAATGCCTTCAGTTACATCATGCCAAAGTGGAACATCAACAACCACACTTTTTCCCAATTTTTCTACCATTAATTTAGCTGGACCTGAAAGAATGTCAGGCAGAGAATTAAGTTTTCTCCCCGATTTGTTCCCCATGTTTTTCTACTGACTCAGGCTCACTGAAAGGATTTGCTTTTACTTGCAAATGGGATTTATCATTCACACAATCACTCTGATCTTCCCATATTGTAATATGGTCAGATCTTTTCAAACACACACTAACTGGAGAAACTCTCTCAGGCCTATGACACTTGCATGACGGTGCACTCGTTTTCGTTTACAATTTGTATGCTAGACACTGAAATGAGTTTATCACAGAGGTTTATATATTTATCATCTCATGCACACACAGATATTTCCCTCCTTAGTGGGACATAATGTCACATCACAAAAAACTCTTAAAAGAAACACAAATGAAAATGAGAAACTCTTCTGGAAACAAAAATTATAAACCACCAAAGGAAATTACGTACTATAAGCACCACCCAAGGAATTATGTCTTTAGGCCTTTCTTTGTATAAACCATCAAAGGAAATTACGTACCATCTCTAGAGTACCACCAAAGGAATTACGTACTTTTTTAATTAGAAGTATCACCATATAGACAATGGAATTACATACTATCTGTGTATAAGCCACCAAAGGAATTACGTTTTTAAAGTATCACCATATAGACTATGGAATTTTATACTATCTGTGTATCACCATATGGAATTACATGTCTATCAACCTAGATTAAAAATGTCATACTCACCTTTCGATTGGGGCGCCCAGCCGGTCACCACCCGGTCCAAAGTCAGGTGGGTTCCTCTCTCGTTTTGCGAGTCGGACTTCCCGACTGGTAAATGTTACCTGCAGTTGGACTCGGGCAAAATGTCAGGCAAAATGTCAGGGGAAATAACTCCTTCCCAAAGAATAAGGAGTCAAATAGATGAGATGAATCATTCTTTATGTAACATGGCCACGGAGAGAAAGCGCAGTTATCTCTCTCGAACTCAACATTTCCTCTTCTTAAAGTCAGAACAAGTACAGAACACAACAGCCAATAGTAACTGCCAAAACCAATGTTAGACAAGGGAAAACAAATGGCAGAGTATTAGCATACACTCAAATGCTCTTCCTGAGAAAGGAAATGCAAATGTGTGTGGCATCAGAGATGTTTTGTCTACCTTTTGATTAGTCTATGTTAAAACTCTCACCTACATGCCAGCAGACGTTTATTGTATTTCAGACAATCCTTTGATTTGGAATAAAAAACCCTGTGACCGATTCTCCAAGTTAGTAAAGTCAATCCTAAGAATCAGAATTTATTTCTCACAGGATTCATGTTTATCCAGTTCTAAAGAGAACTGAGGATGAAGCTCACAGTCAGCTGTGTGTTGATGGAGATGACAGTGGTGATGAGGAGAGTCTAAATCTGTGCTTTGAAATGAGCATCAGAAGTGCAGGGACAGGTGGTAAAGAGCTCTGCAAGGTTTTGGATTTACTTCAATTCATATTCATTTCATAAAATCTCTTTATTTCATATCGGCCATTTTGGAATTCTATAGAAAACATCTGTCTTAGTATTTTTCATAAAGTGAGACATGATTTTTATGAATTAGAAGAAACAGAAGAGAATGAAAGTAACAAAAGATTTGATCATTATTCCAGACTGGCCTGAGATCAGCAGCATGTTATTGATCTGTGTTGACATGAATAGGTGTATGAATGTTGTGCTGACATTTGGATGATGTCTGTAGAAGGCTGACATTATGATGATCCACAATAACACAATGACAAAGACCCTCTACTCATTTTAGGGAAAAGCTCATTGATTAGGACATAGTAATGTTGATCTCCACATTTAAAACCTGAACACATCTCATTGGATTAGAAATGGATTTTTATCTCCATCATTTATTCTTTATTCAGATTGAGGCGCTGCAGGTTGTCAGAGATCAGCTGTGCTTCTCTGGCCTCAGCTCTGAAGTCCAACCCCTCCCATCTGAGAGAGCTGGACCTGAGTGACAACAAGCTGCAGGATTCAGGAGTGAAGCTGCTGTGTGGTTTTCTGGAGAGTCTAGACTGCAGACTGGAGACTCTGAGGTCAGTTCACTGACTCTCTGTTACTATTGTAGATCTGATATGTTTAATTAACAATTGAAGCTAATATCTGTTCATACATAACTTCCATCCATAAAGTTGTAAATGTCCTTTTGTTCATATTTTCATGTTTCTTGTACTAAATTTAGTCTGCAGTCACAAAGACTTGTGTTTCTTAAAGAAACTGTAGAAAATGTCCGCTGCTAGTCATTAAAGTAAATGAATATTTCTAAGTTTTGGTAAATGGTCACATCTGTATACAGAAGATCCTCTGAACTAACATTTGTTTTTAAATTGAAGTTTACTTGTTGAAGCAGAAATATTTCTTTGCTTTCTGTAAGTTTCAATGTGTTTTCACAAAGAATTTCTGATCACTGATATTGATCCTTCAGAACGAACACACACACACACACACACACACACACACACACACGTGTTCACATGAATAGGTGTATGAATGTTGTGCTGACATTATGATGATCCACTAGTGCTGGACGATTTCACCTAAAATCAAAATCACCATTAATTGAACAATTATTTAATTTTTTAATGTTGTTTTTTGTTGTCGGGTTTTTTTTGCCTTCATATTTCAGTGACAAGGTTTGTACAGTAAAGTTGTTCCTGACATTGTGAGTCAGAAGTCAGCTGTTCATCAGAGTGATGGCTTGTGGGAAGAAACTGTTCCTGAGTCTGTTGGTTTTGGCGTACAGAGCTCTCTTGCGCCTACCAGTGGGGAGAAGCTGGAACAGGTTCTGTCCGGGGTGAGATGGATCTGCAGTGATGTTTCTGGCCCGTTTCCTGACTCTGGAAATTCCTGAAAGTCCTGAATGGAGGGCAGGTTGGCACCGATGATCTTTTGTGCAGTCCTGACTGTCCGTTGTAGTCTGCTCCTGTCCTTTTTGGTGGCAGATCCAAACCAGACAGTGATGGAGGTGCAGAGAACAGACTGGATGATGGCTGTGTAGAAGTGGATCAGCAGCTCCTTAGGTTGAGCTTCCTGAGCTGGCACAGGAAGTACATCCTCTGCTGGGCCTTCTTGATGATGGTGTCAGTGTTTGGCTCCCACTTCAGGTCCTGGGATATAGTGAAACCCAGAAACCAGAAGGATTCCACAGCAGACACAGGGCTGTTGAGTATGGTGATGGGGGGCAGAGTGCGGGGGCTCCTCCTGAAGTCCACGGTCATCTCCACAGTTTTGAGTGTGTTAAGCTCCAGGTTGTTGTGACCGCACCAGAGAGCCAGCTGATCAACCTCCTGTCTGTAGGCCGACTCATCACCGTCCCGGATGACCGTTATGTCGTCAGTGAACTTCAGGACTTTAACAGATGGGTCTCCTGAGGTGCAGTTGTTGGTGTAGAGGGAGAAGAGCAGAGGGGCCTGTAATGTCCTTCGGGTGGGCTAACACCAGTCTTTCAAAGGACTTCATGACTACAGCTGTCAGGTCGACAGGCCTGTAGTCATTTAATCCAGAGATGGAGGGTTTTTTGGGGACCGGGATAATTTTGGAATTAGATGGAGCCACTGATGGAGCTGCAGAGTTTAAGAGGTGAAGTCACTACGTCTTTATTGAAGTAGCAACACGTTGTCATTAATATTAATGAAAGCTCTTTTTACCTTTTTTGTATTTTACAGCTTGAACCTGCATCCTGTTGGGTTCAGGTGTTTGGGGTTTCCATTTTCTAAACTTCTACATTCTAAACCTTCTTCAGCTCTGAACAAATTATTAAAACACTGAATGATTTCAAGCAGGAACATTGTAACATTGTAATCTAAAGTTACATTGTTTATTCTTTATTCAGATTGAGTCGCTGCAGGTTGTCAGATATCAGCTGTGCTTCTCTGGCGTCAGCTCTGAAGTCCAACCCCTCCCATCTGAGAGAGCTGGACCTGAGTCTCAACGAGCTGCAGGATTCAGGAGAGAAGCTGCTATCTGATCTTGTGGAGAGTCCACACTTCAGACTGGAGACGCTGAGGTCAGTAGAGGGTTGGAGTCAGTCCATGCTGGTTTCAGCAGCAACAGTATTTCCAGTATTTCCTGTAAACCTCCAACCTTCTCTGTTACGGTAAGTGGTGTGGTAAGGCAGGTTGGAGGACCCAAATGCAGGACTCAAGGCAGAGGAGGTACGGTTCAAAAGGTGGTTTATTTAACGAACAAAAAGCGAGCACAGTTACATACCGAGTGGCTGAGTCCAGAAAAAGCCAAATCGGAAACAAAACAGAAATCCAACACAAGTAATCCAAAACACCAAGGGCAGGAAAAATGCAAGACGAAACACTGGACGAGACTGGGAGACTGAAGCCACAACAGACAGGGGGTAACGCGAACAATGACCGGACAGGGGCTGAACAGAAAGACCACATATATATACCAGGGATAACGAGCAGTGCGGGAGCATCAGGTGACAGACATGAGGCTAACGAGGGAGGCAGAGAGACAGCAGGAAAACAGAGATGCAGGCAGGCAGAGACAACAGGTGGTAACAGAGAGAACACTTAGACAAGCAGACATGGGGCAGAGTGAATAACCAAGAATGCGACACAGGGCTGAGATGCAGAGCTAAACAGAACCAGTAAATGAACAAGGGAATACACAAGATAAAACAGAGAACACAAGACCAGGAGTAAACACAAAAGATATTAACTAATGTACAGGACTAGGAACTAACTGAACAAGACTACACAGAGAAACACAGAACCAAAAACAGACTTAAACAGGAACCACCAGAGGTCGGGCTGGAGGCCGGCGTGGGGGGCTTGGGTCGGTCTGACCACTGACTGGACAGCTGGGCTGGGGAACATGGACTGGACACGAGGAGCTGGCGGGCCGCCAGTGAACCTCCGCAACCTGTCTCCCACTCACTTTGCCTCAGTGGTAGCTTCCGCTCTACCTTCCCTCAACACATTTTCCTCACTTGAGGTCAATGATGCCACACAATCTCTGTGCTCTACACTGAGCTTGTGCCTGGATAGCCTGTGTCCTCTATCCACCAAGCCTGCTCACCTGAACCAGTCCCCCCCTGTGGCTCATTGATTCCATCTGTGGGCTCCATACTGATCTCAGAGCCGCCGAAAGAAAATGGCGACAAACCAAAGACCCCGCTGACCTCAAGTGCTACCAATTGCTCCCTTCTCTTCTTAATTTATACCACCTCACTGGGGCCGATCATTCGCTCGCACGGCTTCTCATACCACTGCTATGCAGACAATATGCAGCTCTACCTATCCTTCCCGCCACACCACGGGCTGTATCTCTGACATATCCACATGGATGAAGGCTTGCCACCTTCAACTAAACCTCTCTAAGACAGAACTCTTGGTCCTTCCAGCCAATCAATCTATCCACCACACCAAACTAAAAATCGACTCCTCAACCATCACTCCAGCCAGGGTGGTGAGAAACTTGGGTGTCATGATTGATGACCAGCTGTCCTTTTCAGACCATGTTGGCGCTGTCTCTCGGTCATGCAGCTTTGCTCTATACAACATAAGGAAAATCAGGCCCTACCTCGCTCAGTACGCCACACAGCTTCTGGTACAGGCCATGGTTATCTCTCGCATAGACTATTGCAATGCCCTCCTAGCAGGTCTCCCAGCTTGTGAGGTGAAACCCTTACTAATGGTTCAGAACGCAGCAGCGCGTCTGGTTTTTGATCAGCCCAAAAGGACTCATGTCACTCCATTACTCAGTGACCTCCACTGGCTCCCCGTGGCCCCCAGAATCAAATTCAAGTCACTAATGCTGCATACAGAGTGACTACTGGGTCTGCATCCATCTACCTAAACTCCATAATACAAACTTACGTTCCTTCTCGGCCGCTACGCTCCTCCAACGAACGCCGCCTGGCTCTGCCATCCCTTCACACAAAGCAATCCCAGTCCCTGTTCTCATCTGTGACACCACGATGGTGGAACGAGCTACCGCATGCCATCAGAGCAGGGGCGTCCCTCTCTAACTTCAGGAAACTCCTGAAAACTCATCTCTTCTGAGAACACTTCCTCTTATAACACCTCTAACTCCTAACTTCTAACATGCACTTCCTGTGCTCTCCTTCTTCTATCCCCTTACAATTATCTTTTATTGATTGCACTTTTTTGTTAACTCTTACTTCCTTCCCTAGGTATTTACCCCTTTGATGTGATATGTACTATGAGCTCTTACTAGTATTTATTGCTGCTCTTACTAGTATGTATTGTCAGTTGTAGATCTGTATTTTATGCTCTGTTGATGCTTGTATGTTGTTCCTCAAATGTAATTCGCTTTGGAGCATACCTTTAGCACCCTCCAAGGAAGGGTGCTAAAAGTATGCTCTCAACAGCTTAAAGGGGTTCTTACTCAGCTGTTTCAAATTTTGCTGAAATGTGGTGTTTTCCAAACTCGTGGAAGAAATCCACAATAATACCTGTGCATGAAGTCTCTAAGGCTACAGCCCTTGGAAACTTTATACCAGTGGCACTGACTCCACTCTTCACTTCACTCCCAAGTGTATGGAGAGAGTGGTCAGCACCCATCTTATGTCCTCTGTTGGGAATCAACTGGACCTTCAATTTGCCTATAGGTCACACAGGGGCACAGAGGACGCAACTCTTACTCTTGTGAATCAAATAGCTAAACACCTGCAACAACCAAAATCACTTGCTTGGGTTCTTTTTATTGATTTTAGAGAGAGGGAGAGAGAGAGAGAGGGGGAGAGAGAGGGGGGGGGGGGGAGAGGGGGGAGAGAGAGGGGGGGAGAGAGAGAGAGAGGGAGGGAGAGGGAGGAACAGAGAGAGAAAAAGAGAGGGATGGAAGGAGAGAGAGAGAGAGAGGGGAGAGAGGCAGCCTACACAATATCCACACACAGAGGTACAGACAGTGAAGGTAATGTTGCTATAGACTGAATGAAAAATGGTACAGATATTTATAGTAGTGTTAATAATAACAATCGTAATGTTAATGATTATAATAACAATAATAATAATAGGACTAGTAACAATAGTCGTTGTAGCAGAGGGTGTCGAGCAGGAACACGGGGGCAGCAGGTGACCCGCAACCACAGATCCAGACTCCAGGGAAAAGTGTGGAAGAAAAAGGTGCACAAGCAGCATGGATGACCGGAGCCTGGAGAGGATTGTCAGGTAAAGGCCATTTAAATGTGTGGGGGCGCTACACAAGGAGTGGACTGAGGCTGGATTTACTGCATCAAGAGCCCCCACACACAGACGGGTCCTGGACATGGGCTTCAAATGTTGTATTCCTCTTGTCAAGCCGCTCCTGAACAACAAACAACGTCAGAAGCGTCTTACCTGGGCTAAAGAAAAAAAGAACTGGTCTGTTTCTCAGTGGTCCAAAGTCCTCTTTTCTGATGTGAGCAAATTTTGCAACTCATTTGGAAACGAAGGTCCCAGAGTCTGGAGGAAGAATGGAGAGGCACACAATCCAAGATACTTGAAGTCCAGTGTGAAGTTTCCACAGTCTGTGTTGGTTTGGGGAGCCATGTCATCTGCTGGTGTTGGTCCACTGTGCTTTATTAAGTCCAGAGTCAGCGCAGCCGTCTACCAGGAGATTTTAGAGCACTTTATGCTTCCTTCTGCAGACCAGCTTTATGGAGATGCTGATTTCATTTTCTAGCAGGACTTGGCACCTGCACACACTGCCAAAGTACCAAAACCTGGTTCAGTGACCATGGGATTACTGTGCTTGATTGGCCAGCAAACTGGCCTGACCTGAACCCCATAGAGAATCTATGGGGCATTGCCAAGAGAAAGATGAAATACATGAGACCGAACAATGCAGAAGAGCTGAAGGCCGCTATTGAAGCATCCTGGTCTTCCATAACACCTCAGCAGTGCCACAGGCTGATAGCATCCATGCCACGCCGCATTGAGGCAGTAATTCATGCATAAGGGGCCCAGACCAAGTACTGAGTACATATGCATGATTATACTTTTCAGAGGGCTGACATTTCTGTATTTAAAATCCTTTATTGTATTGATTTCATGTAATATTCTAATTTTCTGAGATTTTGAATTTGGGGTTTTCATAAGATAGATATAACTGCTCCTACAGGAAGTGAACGCTGGCACGTCTGGTCACCGCTGCTTTCTCCTTGGAATTTGTGTTTTTCTCTTTCTTTCTGCCTCCCCTGCTGCTTATATTCGTAATCTCAGCAGGGAAATACATATGGTAACATACTCAGCAACTCGACAACTAACTTTGAAGGATTAACCTGCCTGTTGATTCGTTAAAGTCTACTTTCTTGGCTGCTGTGGTTCACGGCCTCGCCGGTCATTAACCTACCTGCTGATGTTCCCAGCTGCTGCGGTTTGAGGGTCCACAATGGTGATCACCAGATCGTTCCTATGGACTGTCTTTGTCTGGATCATTCTATCATTTTTACTTGATCCTGTTTCATCAATTCTCTGTTACTCAGCTACGATTTCATACATCCGACCCACCCTTGGTCTTACATCTGCATCCGGATCTGGTTCGTCAGCAATGGCATAAATATGTACACCATGGATCCGGACAGAGATTCAACATCGATGACTCAAAACCAATAAAATCTTACTGGTCATCATCACCTCGTCCGCCAAGAAAACACCACCGTGCTGTTGATCGTGGTGTGCTAGCTGACTTAGCCAGGTCCGCTAGGGCTAATCCTGGCTACAGCCCTGTCTCTGTCGGGCTGTTCAACATCCGCTCGCTCACGAACAAGGGTCCCCTGATCTACGATCTTTTGCAGGAAAACAAATTTGACTTATGCCTGACTGAAACTTGGCAACAGCAGAACGATTATACACAACTCAACGAGGCTGTACCACCCTGGTTTGTTTACACCTGTCAATCATGCGTGTCAGGTCGAGGAGGCGGGGTTGCAATGCTTTACAATGACAAATGAAAAGTGTCAGCATCCCTGCCTCCAATTCATTTGAATCCATAGTCCTGCAAAGCAACGGGCCAGTCCCAACCATATTAGCCGATATCTATCGCCCACCCAAGTCTTGCAATACTTTTTTTAACGGATTTTAATTCCTTTTTAACATCCATTTGCCCCATGGCCCCCAATGTCATTATTCTGGGTGATTTTAATATTCATGTGGACAACAGTAGCAACACTCTCACAAAGGACTTCTCCTCAGCACTGGACAGCTTTGGACTACAACAGTATGTTGATTTTCCCACTCATAACAAAGGACACATTTTAGACCTAATCTGTTTCTCTGGTCTAACCCCTTTTAATTGCAGTGCATCTGACTTGCCCATCTCTGACCATAAGTTAATTTCTTTTAATGTCAACTTACCACTACCCAAAACGAATGCGCTCCACTTCATCTCATTTCGAAACATCAGGAACATTGATGCACCTGCCCTCTCTACTGGAATTAACAATCTCACTTTAGATAAAACACCGATGATCTGGTTTCACAGGTTAACTATACAAACTCCTCAACATTCATGCTCTTCTGAAAACCCGGACAGTGTCTTTTACTTATTCTGCCCCATGGTACACATCTGCTCTACGTCAGCTAAAAGCAAAAGGACGCCGCCTGGAACGTCTATACAAAAAAAGCAAACTAGTTATACACAAGGGCATTTATGACAACCACATGCTGCTCTACAAAGATTCCCTCTCTGCAGCAAAAACCAAATACTACACTCATCTGACATCATCTGACGAAGGGAACGCTAGGGCCCTGTTTTCCACAATTAATTCAATGTGATAATTTTATGTCATCTTTCAAAACCAAAATCGACAATATCCATCAACAGCTACCCACCTCACATAACCGTGCACTTTATCCACCTACCTCTGCCCCCCCTCTACTTTATTATCTAGTTTCCTACTCCCAACTGTCACAGAAATATCTGACCTTGTCTGGAAATCTAAGTCATCCAACTGCCAGCTTGACCCTCTCCCTACCCACCTAGTTAAAATCTGCCTACCCTCCCTCTCCTCTCTTATAACTAACATTATCCACTCCTCTCTTATTTCTGCTCATGTCCCCTCCTCTCTCAAAACTGCTGCTATTACCCCTGTACTGAAGAAACCTGGTGCAAATCGCAATGACCTAAATAATTTCAGACCAATCTCCAACCTGCCATTTATCTCAAAAAAAGAAGAAACTGTTGCTGCGCAGGTCTATAATCATCTCATCAACAATAACCTGAACAGTTTCAATCTGGTTTTCAGTCTCTCCACAGCACAGAAACAGCCCTAATCAAGGTCACCAATGACCTACTAATGGCTGCTGAACATACTGATCCTTCTCGATTTAACTGCTGCCTTTGATACAATCTCTCACAATATCCTCCTGGACCGTCTACCCTCCATTGGTATCATCAATACATCACTGAACTGGTTCACATCACACCTGTGTGGCCGCATTCAGTTTGTTCAACTTAAAAATGTTCGATCACAACCCTCCCCAGTCACCAGTGGTGTTCCCCAGGGATCAGTCCTGGGTCCCCTCCTCTTTATAATTTATCTACTTCCCCTTGGTTCTATTCTCAGGAAAATAATATCCAATTTCGCTGCTGTATGACACCCAGCTCTACTTGTCCACCAAACCTACGTCTCTGCTCCCTTCATCTTCACTAACTGACTGCTTAGATAGGATGAAACCTGGTTCACTCAAAACTTCCTCAAACTAAACAGTGATAAAACTGAAATTCTCCTTGTTGGCTTCAAATCCACCCTAGCAAAATGTCCAAACTTTGCTCTACTCATTGACAATTCCACTGTCCCCTCCTCCCCCCATGTCAAGAGTCTTGGTCTCATCCTTGACAGCACACTTTCTTTTGAAAAACATTAATAATTTTACCCGGTCTGCATATTTCCACTTACGCACGATCAACTGCCTTCATCCTTCACTTACTCACCATAACACAGCTAATCTCATCCGCGCTCTTGTCACTTCCCATATTGATTATTGTAACTCCCTTCTCTCTGGTCTATCTCACAAGTCCATCCATAAACTCCAACTGGTCCAAAGCTCTGCTGCCCGTATTATTACCAGAACCCCAGTCTCTGAACACATTACTCCACTTCTAAAATAACTGTACTGGCTCCCTGTCAAATACCGTATTGATTTCAAAATTCTACTCCTCACCTTCAAAGCTCTCCATAATATTGCTCCTCCTTATCTCTCTGAACTCCTTCAGCCCTACACCCCATCCCGAACTCTCTGATCCTCTTCTTCCTCACTACTTTCCATTCCTTCTGCCCGCATGTCCACTATGGGGTTCAGAGCCTTCAGCTATTGTGCACCTCACCTTTGGAACTCCCTTCCTCTATCCATCCGTACGACAGAGTCCCTGTCCTCCTTTAAAACTTTGCTCAAAACCCACTTATTTCAAAAGGCCTACCCCACATATCTCCACCTTGCACCGGCTTCATGAACTGCTTTCTTTTATTTCTTCATTAGTAATTTTCACCAGTGCTGTCTCTGTGCTATGATGAGCTCTAAATCCTGACTGAAAATCCTCAAATAAACTATTGCTCTGTAGAAAGTCACACAGCTGTTTAGCAACTGCTTTCTCCAGAACCTTAGAGAGAAATGGAAGGTTAGATATAGGTCTATAGTTGGCTAAAACATCCGGATCAAGTTTGGGCTTTTTCAGAAGAGGTTTAATTACAGCTACTTTAAAGTACTGTGGTACATAGCCTGTTGATAAAGATAGATTGATCATATCTAGTATAGAGGTGCTGACTAAGGGTAAAACATCTTTAAGCAGCCTAGTCGGGATGGGGTCTAAGAGGCAGGTTGATGGTTTAGATGAAGAAATTATTGAAGTTAGTTGGTGAAGATTGAGGGAAGCAAAACAGTCTAAACATATATCTGGTTCTACAGCTGTTTCTAAGGTTCCTGAGTTAAAAGATAAGTTGGTGCCAGTTGAGGGCAGGTCTTGGTGAATTTTGTCTCTAATAGCTAGAATTTTATCATTAAAGAAGCTCATGAAGTTGTAACTACTGAGAGCTATGGGAATACTTGGCTCAATAGAGCTGTGACTCTCTGTCAGCCTGGCTACAGTGCTGAAAAGAAACCTGGGATTGTTCCTATTTTCCTCTATTAATGACGAGTAGTACGCTGCTCTGGCATTACGGAGGGCCTTCCTATAAGTTTTAAGACTATCTTGCCAAATTCAACGAGAATTTTCCAGTTTGGTGGAACGCCAATTCCTCTCAAGGAGAGGAGCTAAAGGAAGCAGAGGAGTAAATGAACATCTGACACACCGAGCAGGAGAAAGTAGGAGAGCGAGAGGGAGAAGGAGAAGCCATCGCTAGCTGCTGAGCTAATGTCGCTAACGGCTAAGCTAAAGTAATGTTGCGTCAGCTACCAAAACTTTAGAACAACTATGAGATTGAACAGCAGTCACTAAAAGATGGAAAGAACTGTGAGTGCTTAGGAAAAATTACTGTAAGAATAAGTGTTTAGTGGACAGTTGGTCGCTGTAATCTCACAAATTTAACTGGTATTTAGCGAGAGCAGCACAACACGCTACTAACACACAAGCACCGGAAGCATAAATGAGTCAACACGCTGACCGCAGTACGTCAGCAATGTCAACCACCAATACAGTGTTGTGACCTCTGCTGTTTTCAATTTAAATAAATGACATGACTATGCACAGCACCAATGTTAGTTTACTTATATGCCGATGACGTGGCCGTGGTAGGACTTCTCACAGAAAATAATGCAGCACATGAGGAAGCTTACTTTAGCCAGGTCACTTTACTGCAGGACTGGTGTCAGACTGTTAAACTGGAAATTAACGTGACTAAAACAAAAGAACTTATAATACAAACAAAACCAAGAGGGGCCAGTAACATCACCCCTGTTGTACTTAACAGCCGGCCTGTAGAAGTAGTGGAAAAATAAATGTACTTGGGTACAATCATTGGTTGCACTTTAAGTTTTAATGTAAACTCAAAGTATTTTTAAGAGAGCTAACCAGCAATTGTTTTTAATTAGAAAGCTGAGGAGCTTCAGGGTCAGTCAACACATTCTTGAGATGGCATATAGGGGCCTGGTAGAAAGCATCTGACACTTTAATATAACAGCTTGGTTTGGCAACCTGAATGTGAAAGACAAAAACAAGCTTTCCAAAATTGTTAATATTGCAGGGAAGGTGATTGGCAAGTCACAAAGGCAGCTTGGGGATGTATTTGATAGGGAGACACCCTACACCCACTAAACTCAGAGTTTGAGTTGCTCCCATCTGGCCGTCGATTCAGGGTCCCAAGGGCGAGCCGGAACATCTATAAGAGATCTATTATTCCCCATGCCATACAGGAACTGAATTTAAATTTTTAAATGCGTTTATTGTTGTTGTTGTTGTTGTATTGGTTGTAACCTACCTTATTTCCATCGGCTGCGCTGCTTTCCATTTTCCGTTGTTGTATGTTGACGGTCGTACAGTGTCATACTCTTAAGTGTTTGAATTTTTAAATGTAATTTCAACTGTTGTGTCACTGTTGCATATCTTTTCAGAGAAGGTGGACAATAAAGTCTAATACAAATGCACAGCCGCTCCACTTCTGGTCTGAACAGGACTGAAGTCGCTGCTGGTCTTTATACTGGATGTGCTGCATCACTGAGTCTCTGTAAACTCTGATTTATGACTTCTGCTGTCTGTTTTCTTCTCTCATCAGCTGGTGGCCTTGATCTCTGTCAGAGTGTGAGGGATCAGAAAGGTGGTGGTGTTGAGAGAGGATCAGCTGTGTCCTGATGATCCAGAGAGGTTGAAGCAGCAGCATCAGCTTGTGTGTGGAGAGGCTCTGACTGGGCCATGTTACTGGGAGGTAGAGTGGAGAGGAGAGCTTCATCCAGCAGTGACTGACAGAGGAATCCCAACAGTGCTGCAGTCTGAACTGCTCTGAGATCAGCTCCACTGTCAGACACAAAGTCAAGTCCACCATCATCCCTGTGTGTTCCTCTGGATGTGACAGAGTATCATCAGTGGATCTGGACTGCTCTGCTGCTGCTCTGTCCTTCTACACAGTCTCTGCAGACACACTGAGACTCCTCCACTCCTTCTGCTCCACACTCAGACTCCTCCTCCACCTGGACCTCCACCTGGACCTGATTCTGTCTGTTTTTAATTCATTCAGATGTTCTGAACCCAAAGAACCTCTGCAGATTAGTTCTGTTTCTGACAACAGAACTGCAGATTAACTCTTATTTAAATTGACTTTTCTGCTTTGCTTTCTGTTGCAGCGCCACCTTGTTGATTAATGGAGAGTTGCAGTTAATTTCCACGTTATAGTTCTAACACATTTTTAAAACTCTATGAAAATGCCTGATAAATTAATAAACAGAAAATATAAATACATCAATCTTGAATAATATATATAAAAATTATTGTATTTTATACCAAGTCCGTCAACTGCAGATCCCCTAATTTTATCTTTGTCATCGACCTTCGAAGTTCCACTGGCCTTTTTAAAACTCTCCATATTGAATCATATATTGTTTGAAGCTTGTTTTCAATGTTTCACAATGTTAGCTGGTCCAAATATGGCCCATATCTATGAAATGTGTTCATGTGTCATTTTTATGCTCAGTGTGTTGTTGTTGCTTTACTAATATTAAACAGCCGTTTTCTCAAAATGACACGTTTCCTGTACGCCAAGTCATTTTTCTTACAGCCAAATATCTTTTATAATTCTCATTTTATCTGTAAATATGTAGAATAAAAGGCTCCGTCTCACAGATGAGTGGTGTTACAGCCGACTGTCGATAAAGGGAAAACAAGCTGTGAGAGGCTGAACATGGAGAAAAATGATGAGACTCCACCACATTTCTAACCATCCGTTTATTTTCTATTTCACAACGATGCACAACAGTTCCACTTAACAGCTGTTTCCATACGTCTGTGCAAAGAAAAGGCCGGAGCACAAGACAAGTCAACATGCACCATTAAAGATCTAAAATGACCCTACCCCCATGATCACTGCAGCCAGGTGAGGTGAACAGGTGAGTGCACCTGCTTCTAACTGCGTCCTACACACCCACATACACACCCACCACCCAAGTGCCAATCAAGTGTGCAAATACAAATCAAGGACATGAAGATGCAAAAACTTCCATTTGTGGCTCCTACAGGTGGTTTATTTTGAATAAATCCATGTAAAACTATATTTTGATAAAGCATTCTGTAAATGTCTGAACATTTGGTTTATTATCACAATAAAACAACAAAAATCCATCTGACTCTTATCAATGTGCTGGAAAATGGATTTGTGTGATAAGGCTTAGTACCTCATTTGCATATTATTAAATCAGTTTGTTTTTACTTTTAAACAAGTCAAAAACTCTGCCTATAAATCTTTTCACCAATATATTGGATTTTTAATGTGTCTGCGGCATCAACGGCATCAAAAGTGATTCAGTGGAACTCAGTATTGGTCCAAAAAACTACATGTTTTTAAAAGTTTTACCAAAAGCAAGTGTTCAAGTGCAAATTTAAATAAAACACACAAAATAAGGCAGAATAAAGCCTTTGGTGCAGAACGTCCTCTGGAGTGGACAGATGGATTTTCAGTCAAGCAATATAGAATTTAAATCTGTGACGATCCTGTCCTGGGCTTGTCTGGATTATAATATTTTGGCCATGTCTTGTCTTGTGTTTTGATTTTGCTTTCTCTGTCTGGGTTTTGGGTTTCAGTCCTGTCTGTGTGTCTTGTTGGGGAGTCTGGGTTTTTATTCCATGTCTTTGTTCCTAGTCCTGTGCCTTAGTTCATGTTGTAGTATTTGCTTCTAGTTCTTTCTCTGCATCATTTGTGCTCGGTACTCTGGGTTCTAGTTCTGGGTTCTCGTTGAGGTTTTGTCTGTTATGATCCCTGTGTTAGAGTTGGTCGGTGTTTGTCTGTTCACCTGGGTTTCTGTTATTGTCTGAGTTAGATTCTTGTCTGGTATTTTGTTACATGTATTCAGTCTGTGTTGGTTATTATTTTGCCCCATGTCTGCCAGTACTAGTGTTCCGTCTGTTCCCTCAGTTATTACTCTGTCTGCCTGCCTCTTTGTTCCCCTTCGCTGTCTCTGCCTGCCATCCAGTCTCTCTGTTTTCCCCTTCTGTCTCTCTGCCTCGTTACCCTGATCCCAGTCACCTGTGTTGCTCCCGCCCTGCTCGTTAGTCCCTGTGTATAAATGTCTGGTGTTTCTGTTCATTCCCTGTCCGGTCATTGTTGCATGTCATCCTGTCCTGTCGGATGTCATGTTTCTACCTTTTGGATGTACCAGTTCCTTTACTCATGAGTTCTGTTCATGTCTGTTTGTCATGCTTGGGATAAATAAACCCTGGACTCAATATCAGCTCACAGTGTCTTGCATTTGGGCTCACTCCTGCTGCACTCACTCAGCAAACCCTGACAAAATCTGGATAAAAGTTTTTTTAACATCCTGTTTAGCTGGAAATTAGTTTTTTAGTTTTCTAGGAATAAAATGATTTTACAGTTATTGCTGAGGTACCTGGTGAATCTCCACTCCCCTCCCCTGTTTTGAATTTCTGATGCAGTAAATCAAAATGACAGAGATGTAAAATGTGACATCGTATGTGATGTGACATGGTGCTACAACTTAAATGGCTTCCAAATATCTGTCCTCTGTAGTGGACGTCATGCATGAAAGGAATAAAAAATAAAAACATAAAGAATTGTAATTCAAAAAAAGCTTCTCTTCCAGTTTCCTTTCAGCTTGTAAAGTTTCATTGTGATGTGAGTAAAGTTAGTTTGACTGTGGTGTCTCACCTGAACAGGTGAAGGTGTGTTCAGGTGTTTTCAGGTTGCTTCTGCTGACAACAAGTGGTCAAATGAATTATTGCATCTTTAAAGGAGCAAATTCAGCCTTTTACCCCATAAAGTCTCACTTTCAGTCAGAATTCCACCTTAAACTGAACACAGGAGGTTTAAGGTGGTTTTAAGAGATGAACTGAACTAAAACAGACTCAGTGTGTTTATCATTATAAATTATATATTCATAGCAAGATAACAAATATACAGTCATTATAAACACCCAGCAGCTGTTTTACATTCTGCAGCAAACAAAGCATCATCCTATAATCAGCCATCCCATTACAGTCAGTATAGTAACCCACACTCACACTCACCTCTCTTCATCCTCTCTTCATCCTCACATCTTTTTAATAGTCTTTTTATACAACTGTTTCAACTTTTTAATGTCTGTGCTCTGTTTCAGCAGCTGGACCCAGATCAGGAAACTTCAGTATATATGACTTTAAGAAGATTGAGTTTGTCTGTTCCAGATATCCGACGTTATTGATGATTCTGATTGCTCTTTTGCAATGTGCAGAACGGCTGGAGGTTGGTTTTGTAGCTGTTTCCCCATATTTCCACACAGTAACTCAGATATGGTTACATGAGTGTATTATACAGAGGATGCAGTGATTTATTGTCCAGAATATGTCTTGATTTATTCAGTTTTGCTTTGACCTGGTTTATGTGAGGTTTCCAGCAGATTTTGGGTCTAAGATCACACCAAGAAATGGATTTTCATAAACTCTTTCTATGCTTATGTTGTCCATTTTCAGTTCTACCTGAGGGTTTGTTTTATGTTTCCAAATAACATGATCTTTATATTTAATGACAATTAGTTTCCATCAAAGCAGCATTTTGATTGATTCATTTCTGGACTGATCGCCTCTGAAAGCTGCTGTAAATTGTCACCGGAACAGAAAATATTTGTGTCCTCAGCAAATAAAATAAATGTTAGTATGTTTGATACTTTCCATATGTCATTGATGTAAATGATGAAAAGCTTTGGACCTGAGACAGAACCCTGCGCTACACCACACTTTATGTTCATGTGTGTAGATTTGTGTTCAGCAGTTTCTGAAGCAGCTGCTCAGCCAGTCCAACCCAACCCCTCTGATACCATCCCTCTCTAGTTTATGGAATAAAATGTCATAATTTATGGGCTCAGATGCTTTCTTTAAAGTGTTGAAAATTCCCTCTACATGTTTCTTCTTGTCTGTGTACTTTGATTTCCTCAGTTAGCTCCATTAGTGCCAAAGATGTTGATCTTTCTGTCCAGAATCCGGATTGACTGTCAGCTCGTGTGTTTCGATGAAACTGTCAAGTCTTTCTGTAAAAAATCTTTTCCAGGATTTTGGAGAATTGGGGGAGAAACAGAAACAGGCCTGTAATTTGTGAAATGGTGTCTATCCCCAGTTTTATATAATGCTATTACTTTAGCTGTTTTCATTTGATTTGGAAATTTAGCGGATTGAAAAGACGAGTTTCAGATATGAGTAAATGGTTCTAAAAATTCTTCACTAACTTTTTTATTATAATCATCTCAGTGTTATTCCAATCCATGGAGGATTTGCTTTCACACTTCCTCCCAGTGTCTATTAACTCGTTTCTTTCCACTGCTCTAAGGAAAACAGAACCAGGATTTCTATCCCAAAGATCAGCCTCCACCCTTCTGTTGTTTCTGGATACTTTATTATTTCTGCCAGATTTACCAAGAATTTGTTGAAACCATTTACCACATCTTCCATCTTATTTATTATCTCATCATTTTCAATATAATCTTTCCACTTTTACTTCCATTTCTAATAAAAGTATTTAGAATATTCTGGAAACCTTTCATATTATTTTTATTATTATTGTATATACTGTTTACCAAACCCACCTACCTCAAGTACATAACACCTGCACATAATATTTATTTATTCCAGCATCCTTTGCACTGTGCTCCATCGCACTGTGTACATGTATTCATGTATGTGTACCTGTATATCACATCCAGCTCCAACATGTACATCATAATGATGATAATAATTTACTCCTGCATCCTTTGCATTCTGCTCATTGCACTACTGTCTCAGTCTG